GAACTGTGGTGAGCTGGGAACCTGTTGCTATGTGTAACTAAGCAGCTAAAGGAAAGTTTTGCAATGTCCCTATTTATTTTGATATGCAGAAAAAAATCATAACCAGAGTGTTATATTCAATAAGTGTTTAAATTCCAGCTTCATACTAGGTATAGCTAAGTGATCAGTGTAGAAAAACGGAAATCTACATATAAAGATTAGTTATGTGCAAAGGACAGTAACAGAGACTATATAACAAGAGGACCCGGGTTCAATTCCCAGCACCCACATGGTGGTTTCCAACTGTCTGTATCCCGAGTCCCATGGGATCTGACACCCCCTTCTGGCTTCTTTGAGCACCAGGACAAAACAGTAAAAAATACTTAAAAAAGAGAATACAATGATGGAAACATGTGAGTAGCTGGAGATGTCTAAGATACTTGTGGACTGTGACCATGCTACATGTCTCCTGGGACTGACTTTAATCTCTGTATTCTATATCTGTGGTGCCTATTAGATGCATTTTGCTCAGTGGAAGCCCAATTTAGTTTCTTGGCTCTCTCTACATATTGATGACTCTATCTTGATATGTCTTCAGCTAAGTAACTCCTTTTCTATGGCAAACCCAAATGGTATGGGAACGTAGACACTTTCATGTGTTTTGCTACCAAAGTTTTGGAGGAAAATCTGACAGTACATATTTTAAGGTATGTGGACTTCATGAGTCCTCCTTACTACACAAAGAGCTACAGGCAACTAGGGAAAGCTGAGGGCAGGAGCGGTGATCCTCCCCAAGGAAGACCACACCAAGTTGTTGTCCAATGCCAAATGGACAGAAAACATGCATGCAAGTAATATATGGGCTTGAAGGCTATATTTAGGAATATATATGTACATAAAAATACATATAAGCATGCAATAGCAATTGGTGAAAAGAAAAGCCATGAATTTGAAGAAGAGATGGAAAGGAGTATGCAAGAGGGATTAAAGGGAGGAAAGGGAAGGAGAAATATTGTAATTAAAATACACTTATAAAAATAAACAAATGTATTTGGGCTTGATAAATACTGACAACTTCTTGGAGGGTAACTGAGAAAGGGCATCCATGCTGAAAGGTTAATCTAATCGTGTGTGTGTGTGTGTGTGTGTGTGTGTGTGTGTGTGTGTGTAAATGTATCAACACGTGCACTTTACTTATGGGGATAGAAATTCACTTAATAATATGTATTTTGGAACTTTTGAATTAATAGTTACACTGTAGTATTGTAGTTTCTACTAAGAAATGATGCAAGTTTTAGTTCATTGTGCTATTTGCAAGTTTGAAAACTGGAAACCTCTAACATGTACAGTAGTAGTAGAGGCAAGTAAATGATGACCAACCCACTTAAATATCACATTATGATAAATCGCTTACTGCTATTGGAATATAGTGTTTGATAATCAAAGTTCTCTATAAAATGGAAAACAACAACAAAGCAATGACAAAAACAGTTCCACTGTTGGGCCCTGGTGCTATAGCTGTTTTCCTGATACCCAAAGAAAATGACCAGCTGACAATGGGAGCCATTCAAGTTTTATGGTTGAATTGAAACCTTCAAATATGGCTCTCTTGAATAAAGACTCATTTTGTGGTGTAGACACTGAGTACTAGTTATTCACCTAAACTAGTCTGGTGGATACAATGCCTAACCTCAATTATGAATGTGTGGACGCAGAGGTCTTCTATTTTTCTGAAGCTTCTGTGTATCTTTGGTCAACAGAAGTCTGAAAGCTGGGAAGTAAGTAGTAATAATCATTATATAGAGACAATAGTTTATATGTGCACACATGTGGGCATTTGCATGAATATGTGTGTAAGTATGTTTATGATATGAATATATGTATGACCATCCCTTTAAATATACATACAGTGTGTGTGTGTGTGTGTGTGTGTGTGTGTGTGTGTCTGTGTGTGTGTGTGTAGGATTCTTCTGGCCCACACTCCCAAATTTGAAGTCTGGAATGTACTACATTAATTTAACTGAGTCAAATTGATCACCAAAATAAGGAGGTGATTGTTTTGAGTATTCCCAGGGTGAATGTGTTAGAGACAGAGTACCATCTGGCATTTTTCTAGTCTGAAGGCTTCTGGGAAGAGTCTTCATTATTGGCTTCAAGAAGATAGAGAGAATTAGGCTGCAGATCCATTGGCAAAGTTTCCTGATGCTGTAAAATAGTTTGCAACCTAGGGCAGCACTGTATGCTTGATTAAGCTTGCAATGAAAAGGATTTATTTTAAGCCACTATAATAATTTCTTTTTTTAATCAGAAACTAACCAAGCAATTTTACAGTAGCCTCCATTTGCATGAAATACCTGTTCCTTCATCTAGATGGTTTGTCTATTGGTAAAATTTATTAAGAGTCTATTTATGCATAAAATCTGCACATGTTTTGAAAGGAAGAATATCAGGATGAATTCCATGAAAAATTGTTCTTTGCATTTTAATTGTCCAGCTCATCCTGAATGCAGATAAACTTTCTTTGGATGAGAAAGAAGTTAGGCCCCACTGTGTCTTCCTACCACTAGTTCTCATTCTATCCCCTTTCCTTTTCCCAGATCCAAACAGGTACCTTATTTCTGGGGAGGAGACCGTTACTACTCCATGCCTGGTCATGGACATTGCTGCTGTCTCTGCTAGTGGTCTTAAAGTCATTTTGAACTTGACTGAGTGTTTACTGTGTTCTAAGTCCCATACCACTTCCCCAGAGATAGTATAGAAGACATATACAGAAGGCAAGTTGTTTAAACAAGTGGCTCTTCAGGTCTTTTAGGAAGTATGTTCAATTTTCACACAAGACTCAGGGATACAGATGCTGCAGAAGGCAAAGGATTCCCCTCCCCTCATTGAGTTCCTCACTGGTTTGTGGATCTTTAGAAAGGTCCAATACCATATGCTCTCTGTTTCACTTGGTGGGTAGGTGCATTTCTTTCTACAATGAGAGAGCTTCCTTTAGTCCACTTAAGGCAGCATGCTACAGTAACAAGTTTGTGTTTGGCATATTTCCGACTTCGTAGCTGTATGATTGCTATTGAGGAGCCACATGTTGCTTAAAAAAAAAAGTGGTGGTGAACAGTCTTCTAGTCTGTATAAAAATCTCTTTTCCTCAAGGCTACTTTCACAGACTTGAAATAAGCTAATTAGGAAGCACTCTTGAGAAATCAGTGCTGGTTGCAGGAGTTCCTCACATTAAGTAGGAGATATTCAAAATTGTAGAAGGGAAAGTAAGCAGGACTGAAAGGCTGTTGTTGTTACAATATAAATACAAGTTACCTTTCTGCCTTTCTGGAGAATGACCTACAAGCCAAGCTTGATAAAGACACACAACTTTACAAGAGTGGCCATCTTGTCTCTATCTAGGACATTTGCCACAGATCTTTAAACCATGTCTGTAGTGTAGGACTGCTAATAATACTTGACATAACATTCAACCTGGCCCCTGGGGCACCCAAGTTCTTTACAAAAGCCTTCCTTTTTAACCTTCAGGAAGAATCTTTCCAGCCCCCCCATTGGAAGGTGAGAAAGGGCAAGGGCCTTTGGTTCCATTTCCTGCTTAGGGAAGCAATGTCTCACAGCAGATTAGCAAGAGGGATCTGGGAGGAACTATAACCCATTCATTCTTCTCAGAAGAGTGTGGTGTGTGTGTGGGGGGGGAGGATAGGTTTTGGGTGTCTGGCTGTCCGTGTCTTACTGTCTCTCTCTGCCCCCTCCGTGTGTGTGTGTGTGTGTGTGTGTGTGTGTGTGTGTGTGTGTGTGTGTGTTTAGGCTAGAGGTAGATGTTGAGAGACTTCCTTAATCATTCTCTCCATCTTAGTGTTTGAGATAGGATCTCTTACTGGACCTGGGACTGGCCAGCAACCTCTGGGGTCCTCAGGACACTGCCTCTCCAGGGCTGGGGTTACAAGCAAGTGATGCTGCACTTGACTTTTAACTTGGGTTCTGGAGAATGGGACTCGGTCGTCAAGCTTGCAGGGCAGACACATTACACATTGACCCATCTCCCCAGCCTGCCTGGAGAATTTTAAACTTAACTTGGATTGAGTTGTAGGATTGAGTTATTGGCAAAATGGGGTTACCAATAATTTCTCTTTCTCCCTTGGCTGTTATGGTCTAAAATGCCTATCTTGATATAAAATTGTCTTAAACAAAAATGCAAGCTGGGATACTGACACACATACTGTCATGTTTTCTTTAGCTGAACCTCCTCCTAGCTTTTAGGGGGCTGTTGGTTCTAGAATTCTCAGTTGTGATGAATAAGGCCGTGTTCTCAGTCTCTAACTGCATAATTTTATACACTCACTTCCCTTCCCAGTCTTCATGGTTCTAGACTAAAGAGTATGAATTTGTTTAATCTGTCTTCATAAGGCATCCTGCCCCCTGCAACCACCACCATCCCTTTGATTACAGAGTGGCCCTTCTCTGGATCACCTCCAGCTCCATTATGTCATTCTGAAAGATCAGACCTGCAGTGTGTGTGTGTGTGTGTGTGTGTGTGTGTGTGTGTGTGTCTGTGTCTGTGTGTCTGTGTGTCTGTGTGTCTGTGTGTGTGTGTGTGTGTGTGTGTGTGTCTGTGTGTGTGTGTGTGTCTGTGTGTCTGTGTGTCTGTGTGTCTGTGTCTGTCTGTCTGTCTGTCTGTCCCTGCTTGCATTCTCCAGTTCTGAACCTCTGACTCTACCCCCTCCTCAATTATAAATCTTGTATAAGGTTTATTGCCCAAGACCCTCTCTTCGAATTACAGAGGCCAGTTGGCCCCAGGCTGAAGCCTTCTTTTTTCTCTGCGCAGCTCTTGCCCCAAGGGGCGAAACCGTCTCCCTGTCTGGCTTAGGAGGCTGGGAGGTGGATAACTAGGATGGGGAGGCCGAGGGGGAGGGAGGGGGGGTCTTGCGCAAGCGCACGCTGCTGCAAGGACGCCAATGCTGCTGCCTCCCTGAGCAGAGGGAGGTGGAAGAGGAGGGAGGGAGCGGAGGGGGAAGGGAGGGGGAGGCGGCACTTGGGCTGCAGCTCTCAACCCAAGGCAGTCAGTCTCTCTCTGCGCTCAGAAAGACCAAGAGGCAGCGACGGAGTAGGATGCTCTGCGGGGCGCCCTGAGCCAGGGGCTACTGAAGCAGCTTCGGGGACTTGGGGGAACTGGACCGCTTTCACCATGCATCAGTCCCTGACTCAGCAACGGTCCAGCGACATGTCCCTGCCCGATTCTATGGGTAAGTCTAGTCGCTAGTACTGTCCTTCGGGCGGTGGTAGCAGGGGGTAAGTGTGTTGTACCTCGGATAGCCAGCTCCCGGCTGCCCCAGAGCCACAGACAGGGCATCTGGGTGGGGGTCCACAAACTCGAGTGTCTGGGAGGCGGACCACAGCCTCAAGGGAGCGGCCCAGCCGTGATAAGGGTGACGCGCGGAGATTGGAGCGCCAAGCTGGGGTCGGAGTAGCCTACCTAGCCCGGAGTGCGAGTGTGTGCGTGTTTGTGTACAGACTTGCAGCCAGTGGTAAATCCCAGCTGTTTGGGCATCAAAACACTTCCTTCAACCCGCGACTTCGCTTTCAATTCAACTCTCCTTCTTTGCAAAGTCCTCATCACTTCTAAAATCACGACTAATGATAATTAGAAGAAGCAGGGTCTTTTTTCCACCTCCTCTCAACTCTCTAGGTGCTATCCTGAAATTCAGACCTGCAGTAGTGGGGGAGCTGATTTATATTTCACAGACGGGGGGGTGGAACCCCAGGGAATGGGGGTGGGGGAAAAAACAAGGGGGATGCTGGTGGGACAGAAATTCCTGAGGAACCACTGAAGACAGCCCTGCCTTGACATACGCAGCAGAAAGATCAACAGTCCTTGAATTTGATTTCTCTTTAGCCCCAAATACACAGAATGTGTGTGAGTGTGTGTGTGGGGGGGGGGGGGCAAAAGGACAAGAAAAGAAGATCCAGCGCAAGCCCGCGCATCTTCTGAAGTCGCGCTTTTCCTCTTCAGCTGAATGAAGGGGGAGGGGCACCTTTCAACACCTTTCTAAAAACTAGAGGATTGCTTCCGTCTTGCACCAACTTGGTGGCCCCTCGAAGGTACTTTTTGGTAGCTACAAACGAATTTAAAAAACAAAAACAGTTTCCTTTAGTTGTTAGGCACATTCCCAGGCCCTGTGATTGCGCTGGGAGGAGAAATTAATTTGGAGCCTGGGAAAGCGGGAGGGGATTGTTGAGCCATGATTCCACCTATTCTTAAAATTTAGCTCAGAATATACTTTAACAAAACTCAATTCGCCTTTTAAAAATCACACTGCAAAAGTCCCCTGTCCCGAATTTCTGCCATTCTGTCTTCTCAGATCTTCTCCCATGAATTTGCAGGAACATCCACAGGGGAGGGGTCAGGTGAAGACTGAGCCCAGTGTGAGCTATGTGCTGCCTGCAAAAGACTCAGTCGCAACAAATTTCGTTCAAGGAAGGGGCCCCTGAAAGTGTTATCACCTGGATGGTGGAAATATTCTTATCTCCGGTGTTGTGGCATACTTAGTACGAGCCTCGTGCTCTTCATTTTTAAGGTCGGAGGTATTTGGAACCAGGTACAAAATGAGACCAGGACTGGGGTCCAAATCCAGAGCCCAGCAGTACCAGACTCTCCAGTACCCCGCCCCCCACTCCACCCCACGCATACACAGGCACGCAGAATACCAAACGCACTCCTTGCCTTGGCCAGCTGTGGCGCTAACATAGCCCAGGCTCCCAGACATCAAGCTACAGCGCGAGAAAGAGATCTGGACGCAAGAGGGCGAGGGTTCCGCAGCACCCATTCTAACTGCGTGCAACAACCACCTGCAAACCAATCCTCCCCAGCCAGAGCTGTGTGGCTGCGGGGACTGAGCAGACTGGAGACCCAGGGCTCAATGGCTTGATACTTGACACTGCTCTGTGGGTTTCAGAGCAAGATGAAGAGAATTCTCTCTTTTATTCCCAGGGGCCCCCAGCCTGTTTTCCGTTTCTCTAAAGATCTGCGCAACAAGAAACTGAGTGGGCTTGCTCAGCTCAGATTCGCCACTGCAGTGAAAGGAATCATAGCTTTCATATAGACTAGGAACCACCACCATGAATCGCGTTTTTGGTACAAATCCACAGGCCGAAGTCACTAGAAAATTCTGAAGTAGAGTGGTCACTCTAGGTTCCCTCAGTTTGGATAGGGAAGTCTCCTAGGAGTTCCCTGGCGGTAATCCCACAACCCAGGCCTGAATCAGCATTTAGGATACTCCCATTTAACTAAGCTCTGGGAGAGCCACCTTCTTATGCCAACAGGATGAGGAGAGGTGGTGGGTTTGTGTTTCTGCCTCAAAGGGCAGCATTTCTGAGGGGATTCCTTTTATAGGAAAGACACAGCTGCAGCCAGTAAGCAAGCAAGCAAACAAACAAACAAACAAATAATAACCCCACACTACACACCCCACGCGCCCCTGCGTGCCTGCACACGCGCGTGTACACACACACACACACACACACACACACACCACTGCACCAAGGTGCCTGCACTACTTTTGCTGGTTGCTTCGGGATCAGTTGTTAGTCCAAGACTCTGAAGGAAGCAGACATTTGGGAATTATGAAGATAGTAATTTAGCTACCACGCCCCTCCATCATCTTTCAGCAAACCCCTCCTTCACTTTGGCAACAGCGCCCTCAGGCGCTAATGCACCTCTACTACATTAGGGCATTCTCTCCACCCCCAACAACACATTTTGTAATTTACTGAGCCATCTTTGGTATCTCCATGTCTTGAATAATTTACTGAAGAAGTGAAGGTCGTAGATTTCAACGCCTTTAGGTGTGAGTGTTTGGGAGACTGGCAGAGCATTAAGGCTCTTGTATGGGCAGCCACCTGTTTCCAGGGATGCTCAAGTCTGAGACTTCTGAGATCTACTCTGCTGTGGCAAAACTGACTCAGGTAAGCACATCCTAATCCACTGAAACATTCAAGCATGAGAATTACCCTGTCACAAACACCGCAGGGTACAGAGCATGATACTAAGAGTCTTTGTTACAACCCAATAAAGATTACACAGCCTCTTTTGGGAGGGGGCTATCAAAGAAATGCATACAAGGTAAAGCATTGCAGAGGCAGCATCTGATCTTATAGTAACTCACAGCTGGGCTCCGGTCAGGTACACAATCCTGGAACTAGTGGACATCATATGACTTGTAGGAGAAACCTGCTGTCACAATTTCTATACTTACTTAGTAAGTCCTCCTAAGACATTAGAAACTGAGCTAATGGGTGATTAGAGTAGGGGGAGATTGATTAAAAGATTCTGTGGTGGAAGAAGTTTTGAGCTTGCTTCAAAAGAAGAGAGGGATTCAGATGCAAATGCAGGTGGGAGGAGGAGCTGGCTTTTATTAGAGGGACCAGGGGAAGGAGATGCTGATCCTATCTGGAAAGGTGAAGCCAGCAAAAGAGTGGATGCATCTAGAGCTACATCCTGGTCCTCCAGTGTCTGTGGTGGAGGTGGGGCACTGCAGAGAGGGAGGGCTGCAGTAGCTCTGCAGGGAGACTGCTGGGGGAGCAGGAAATGCCAAAAAGAAGAATTTGGATTCACTGCCATTGGTTGCAATAGCTGTTTAAATAGGAATATACTAGGTACAAGGTAAACAAGGTGATGAGGCTCTTATGGTTTTGACACTAGTTAGCCGGAAGGCTTTCAGTTCAGGAGATCCCACAAAGTGTACTCTTCTTCTAAATGGTAATTCTATGAGCATGATCGAAGTTGCACAACTCCCTCAACAGACGGTTCATTAGAAGAAAAACAATTATGAGACTTTAGCACTTGTTTATTCAGTAACTATCAGCTATGTATTTACTGTGTATCTGACATAGCAAAAGGCACTGTTTTCCAGCCCTTAAGGCTAATTTAAAGTAGCTCATGGTGTCTGAGCTTTTTTATATGTTAATTTTTTATTGGTATTTTGAGACAGGGTTTCTGGCTGTCCTGGAACTCACTCTGTAGACCAGGCTGGCCTCAAACAGAGATCTGCTGTCTCTGCCTCTGGTGTGCTGGAATTAAAGGCCTGCACCATCACTGCTCGGCTTTATATCTTAATTTATTAAACAAAGCCTGAATAAGATGGTCCTGTATTCACAGAAACATCTAAGGCCTCCCCCCAATTGAACCTTAGTAAGAACAGGGTTCTCCCGCATTCTAAAATAAAGCAACAAGCAGGTAAAAGGAGTAAGTTATACAATTACCTGCCCTTTAGGATCCCTGGCTACACCTTCAGAGCACCTTAAGGTAAATCTTGCTCCAAGTAGAAATGGACTTTATTCAGTCAAATTGAAACCATAGGTAAATGGAGGGAGGGGAGGCTCTTCATTTCAAAAACATTCACCCAGGAGTTCTTTAAAATAGTCAGTTCTCCAAGTGCATTGAAAATAAGTTGATGTTATGTAGGTAAGGTCTTCATAATATAAAATAAAAAGTGACTGGCAGGACAGAGAATAGATAGTTAACATAGTGCCTAAGAATTGTAGCAATTTAATCCAAAACTAGTCTTAGCTGGAGACAAGCCCCCTGTAGGATGGTGGGATCTTTGGGTTTTTCGGCAGACAGCATTTCATTTCAGAGTCTAAAGCAAAGGGAAAAAAGGATTTTCAAATGACACCATGTGGTTTGCTGAGTCACTTTTCTGACCTGGCTGCTGTGCTTAAGTTAGAGTGATATTTGCAAGGAACACTCCGGGGCTGTGGATAAGATTAAAGGTCGGTTGGTAGGAATGAGCCGCTCGGTGAGACAGCAAATGAGGAAGCCCATGCAACTGTACATTCTCCTCCAATTTAGTCCCTCAGGTTACACAGCCGCCGTGTAAGATGCTCTTGGTGGATTCCGGGGCAGAGAAAGGCTAGAGTTCCTGTGTGCATGACAAACATGAAAGCAAGCAAAGAATGGGAAGCGGTATAGTTAAATTTAGGGTTAGAGCCCCACAGTGGAACCCTGGGAGACTCACCACGAATCTATCATGAAATGAAATTAGGGACCCTGGTTTAAGGACTCCTTTGGGTATTCTGATGTCAACAAGAACAATAAGGAGCCTGCAGGTAGATGAAAGAAATAAATCCTGTCCTCCGTACCCTTACCCCTCTCCTATTCCCTTCTCAGAACCAGGCAGTTAGTTTACCAGCAATCAGGTTGTCGTTTGCACCCGATAGCTACCACAAAGGACCCCGATGTCACAGGTGTCTAGGGGTCTTTCTGTTTTTCTGCATGGGGGCTGGCTTCCTAGCTCACTGCAAAGCACAGCCATCTATGACTCCCCTTGCCTCTGAGATTGGAGCTTTAGTGTATGACAGGGGCCTATACTGAAAGTGCTTCTACATTTTGATGTAAAACAGTCTTAGAATAGTATTGTATTAGACTTTGACCTGATGAGTCACATCTCTTAGTTTCAAAGATGACGTCAGGGGAGACAGCCAGCCCCTCCCACCTCCCTCAGAGCCTTCAGCAGAGATCACACTGGGAAAGACCCAGGGTGGCAGTTTTGATGCTGTTATTCTATATGGAAAGATAGCTCCAGGAGCCTTTGAGAACAGCCCTAGCCCTCACTTCCCACGAGCTTTCAATATCAACAAGCCTCCTGGGTCTCTTTCAACTGGGTTTACCCCTCCTTCTACCTTCTTTTCTTTCCCTCTCCTCCCAGTATGGGCAGCTTCTTTGCTCCATAATTTTGCAGAGGGTACAATGAGACCTCTCAGAATGCTGACTTCTGAACAGACAGAAGTTGTCTTCCGGGCCATTCTTGATATTTGAAGCACTGGTCATACAGCCACCTATTGCTTCATACATACCTATGGTCTTTATGGCTTCAAGAGAACCGGGTTCTAATAGTGTTGCCCATTTGTTCACCCCCTACCCCCGAGAACTCCTGGGTGGTTAATTCTCCCGTGGTATTTCCTATTGAGGAGCCCTTCCTTGTGCCACAGAAATGCCTGCATAGTATAAGGCAGTGCTAGGTCCTAGGATAGAGCAGTGCTTGGTTCCTTCAAACATATTAAATTGAAAAGTGAGCTTAGATACCATTTTTCTATTTGACTTAATAAGCTTAGTTTTGAAAAAAAAATATTGGTTGGTGCTATCATGTCTGATAAGCTCTGAGCAGGAAGGAGCATGGGTTTCTTGCCATTTATATTTATGTCATCCTCACATATGCGTAAATGTGTGTAAGTTATAATCCTTCTGATCTACCTCCCCTGATATAAATCTTGGTGGACTAATAGCCTTCAAACATTTACTTTATTAAGCACATTTGTTATGTGACAAATCTGGCCAGCACGCCATTTTTAAGTTTATGCATGAGGCAGCAAATGTCAGAAACAAATGAAAAATAAAATGCCAGTTCCTGGCTCAGTCCTGATATTTACACTAAAAATTAAATTTCATATCTCTAGCTTCTAAGAAAAAAAACATTCTTAGTTGCCTCCTGGCTTTAAAATATTTTCTTTTAATACCCTCATACAAATGCTTCTCATTCATCATATGCTTTTATTATAATCTGCCCTAAAAAACACTCCACTAAGTGGGTATGACACATCTTTTATAGAATGTCAAAAACACAAAATTGCTTTGCTGTTATGTAACTGGTGAGTTTTCTCCTGTTGTTTATTTTCAAAGAAGCAACATATTTTTATTAGTAAAGTGGCACCCGTTGACTGCAAAATGGAAAGCTCCATTCTTTTACTGTAATTCCATTCCCCAGAGACATCCCAGTTACTAATAGGGAGAGGAAAGAAAAACCTTACTAGTAAATGTTCTCTTCTTTTCCCAGATGGAATGAGCAATTTCAATGTCTCTATTCTTCCAGGGGCCTTCAATAGGAGGAAGCGGAACTCCATCTATGTCACAGTGACTTTGCTTATTGTGTCCATGCTAATTCTCACGGTGGGCCTCGCTGCAACTACCAGGACCCAGAATGTGACCGTGGGAGGTTACTACCCAGGAGTTATTGTAAGTACAGAGAGTATAGGTCAGTCTCTTGCTGGCTACAGAGTTGGTGACTCTGCTGTGATAGTTTTCAATTCTGAGTTTCTAGTGTTGACTCCTATTTCTTCTCTCTATTTCTTTGTGTACATGAGAGACAACTCTCCTTAGGAAAAACACAGGACTCCCTTAACGAGGACTGAGATCTTAAGCATGTCATCTTATTGTCTTGGGCTTTGCTTTTTTGATTTAGGAGATGGTCCTTTCTAGGAGCATCAATTTTAGCTAAGTGTCTGCCTTCTCAGAGGCCACATGATCATGCCTGTCACCTCCACTTTCTATGGACAATGGCACTCATTTATTTACAAAGTAGTCCTCCCAGGAAAAGGTGTAGAAGACATTTTTTTGAGACAGGGTTTCTCTTTGTAGCTTTGGAGCTAGTCCTGGAACTCACTCTGAAGACCAGGTTGGCCTTGAACTCACAGAGATCTGCTTTCCTCTGCCTCATGAGTGCTGATTAAAGGCATGTGCCTCCACCTCCTGTTGGAAGACATATTCTTAATACGTGCATATTTATTCATTTTTAAATCACATACACACTCACAAAATGTATATAAAATGGAAATTCAAACTTTATATGAAAATGAAATTCCAATTTTAGTAACTTTTTATACAAACGCTAAAATGTTACAGGATGTTATGTACTTAGTGTGAAGTTTGTCATTAAAGATAATACCTATAAACCCTTATTTCAAATGGCCCATGAGCTATTTGTAAATATTTTTGGCTGAGTTCTTATCTGACAAGTTACAAGTTGTCATTGGAACCACTAGTCTTTAAAAGATTCTTTAAAATATGCCCCTTACATTGTGTCTGACTAAAAGCTTGTATGAGAGGTAGAAGTAGCAACTCTTCCATTTTTCATTGGTCATTTGTTATTAAGGTCAACTTCGATTTGTAATTCTCAATAGGATTTCCAAATCTCTCATCCATTTTGTTAGTTCTAACTTGGTTAAACTTGATTATATAATCTGCTCATACATAAAATGCCCTACCATTAACAATTCACTGCTTGGAGTTTTCCCCCTTCACAAAGGACAGCACCCTTCCTAGTGATAGAGAAATGCCATTGACAATCCATTTATGAAACATTAGTAATAACTTCTGTTTTCTTATCTCAGATAAACATTAAATAAGAATCGAAGTTTAATGGTTTCTTTTCTTAGTTCAGCGGATTGTTTATCCTCCCCTACAGTGCATGCAATCCATTTTTTCAACAGTGAAATTTGCTACATAAAAATAATCTCATTTACTAGTTTAGTAACAGTAAAACTCTGTCAAAACAAAGCATCCCTCTATGAAAATTGCCGTTGAACCCCAAATATTAAGTCTAGAGACTGAATCTTATTTTAATATCAGTTAAATGATTCCTGAATTGCACTTACTAGAGAGTAGAAAGATGTTAAAGGTGGTTCATAAAACACACACACACACACACACACACACACACACACACACACACACACACACAGAGCATACAGATCCGACATGGTTTTGGGTCTCTGTCTGTCCTTCTCACTCTCATTCAGAAGAGAAGAAGTTAAAGATTATATCTTTAACAAACCATCACTGTGAATGACCAGCTTGGAGCCTGTTGCCTAGATCACGGATTCCATTCCACAGTCTGACGCCTCAAGAGCCCTTTCAAAGCCTGGGCTTGATGTGGGCTCTGAAGTCTGATGTAAGCTGAACCTCCTTCAAGCCTAAGGCTTCTGATGGAAGTTCTGCAGTTTGGGGGAAGGTAGGGTTCACCGCGAGCTTAGGGCAGGTGTCTCACAGACACCAGTTGGTACCCAACGCCCTTTGTTAAACATGTGATGTGAGAACTCACCCAGTCCACTTCCTGTGGTGAGGCAAGAAAATCAGCAGTCAGCAGAATTGGAGTTTATTTTTAAAAGCAAGCAAAGGGGAAGGGAGGAAAGGAGAGAGAGAGAGAGAGAGGGTAAGAGCATTTTGGTGGCTTGGAAAGGAATTTGCAGGGTCTGTGCTGCTTCTTGTGCTTCAGGTAGCTGCATTATAAAATACCTCCAACTGAAGAGCAAATGCTGAAGCCAAGATCCAGTGTTGCAGCCGGTGAAGGGAGGCTATTTTTCATGTTAGCACAAACCTTCTCTGTAGTTTTCTGACTGTGGGAGGCTAGGTTGGAATACATTAACAAAGGAATAAGGACTCATGATTGCTGTTATTGAAGTACTTGATGTTCAGCTAGCATTGGAAATTGAAGCAGTGAGGGCATATCTCTCTCCCTCCCTCTTTCCCTCTCTCCCTCCCCCCGCGGCCCCCCCCCGTGTGTGTGTGTGTGTTTGTGTGTGTGTGTGTGTGTGTGTGTGAGAGAGAGAGAGAGAGAGGTTACAGTAAAAACAAACTTAATAAGAGAGCCACCTTAAGAGGATTGTTTATGAGCCACCCAGACATGCACTGGTTTAACTTTTACAAATTTGCTCTCTGAATGCCCGTGGATCATTTCTTTAAAATGGGTTTTAATTATACAGTGAAGCAGAGAAGATAGCAGATTGAACAGTTGAAAAATCCATTTACTTTTATAGGTCAGATGGTGTTATAGCAAATACAATTAGGACTCCTACCTCTGCAATAAATGCCCGAGAACCCAGATTTGCCTGGGAATGGAGCGTGTCGCTAATTGAATAGTTTTGGTTATTAGGGAGGAACTACATAAGCTCTCAAACCGGTGATTTCCCCACCCAGGTACGAGCTAGAATGATGTGAAAAATGCAGATCTCTCCTCCATGTCCCCAGAGATTCTGATTCTGTTGGACTCTATGAATGTGATTTCTTTTCATTAGCTAATCTTTGACCGAAAAAGTAATAGATGCTAAATATACATTTTACTAGTCACCTCAGGGAAATATAATTTAGGTGGACCAGCGGCCAATTGGAGAATGAAAACACAATAAAACACATTTAGCAGTAAAACCAAAAAGAGCATAAACCAGAAAGAGGATTTTAAGATTCTGTACAGCCAAATTGGTCATTTTGAATATAAATTATAGTTATTTGGATCAGTGAAAACATCTCAAGTTATCCTGAACTCAACTATTTTGTTCTCAACTCCAACTAACTGTGTTAATAATACATTTAAGTTTGAATATTCAAAACAGATAAATTATGGAGAAAGAATTTGATTAAAAGAAAATTTGATACACATTTCATTTAAATACTAAGACCTTGGGCATTTCAAATACAGTGGCGAGGTGTTTAATATGCAGAGAAGTATATTACAATAGTATGTTAGCTAGTCTACCTGAGCTATAATGTAGTATTGGTACTACATGCCTCTTTAAGGGTAAGATAACCTACACAGGCTGAAATATAAGGTTTTTAAACATTAAACATTAAGACTGATGAAGACAAGCTGATTTTTTTTGATATCCTCCAATGTTTGAGGTATCTTCCATTTCGGAAAAGTTCTGAAGAACTTTGAAAGCCTTTAAAAAAATGTTCACGAGCCCTGGTTATTGAATACAGCTGAGAAGGCCCAGGGGTGGGGAGGGGGAAGGTTGCTCCATTCCTCTAAGTCTTTTCTTACCAGGAGAAGGAAGCCTGTAAATGTGTTTCCCAAGCAACCCACAAGATGGAGTTGACCCCTTGATCAGTGAGGAAAACCCTTCAGGCACTCTCATCTCAGCATTATTGTCCTTTAGGGCCCCGTATTTTCTTTCAACACAGAAACCTGGAAGTTCCAATCCACTTCCTGGAGAGGGTTCATTGATTGAAAACCATGGAGAGTCACTATGGGATAATAGCAGACAGGGACAATAGGAACAGTCAATAGTTAAGAAGCCTTCTCCAGGCACACATGGCTTTTTTACCTGAACACTCAAAGACTATGTAAAGAAATGTAAGGGCATGTGAAGTCCAATGCTATTTTGAATGCTTAGGAAACAAGTCCTGGAGGTTTGGGTTTTGTGATTGCTGTAAATTAAAGATATTCAGAAAGTTCAAGTTTGTCCTAAAACATAAATTCCTAAGTGAGTACTGTTTTTTGTTTGTTTGTTTGTTTTTTGTTTTTGTTTTTGTTTTTTTGGTTTTTAAAGATAGGGTTTTTTTTTTGTGGCTTTGGAGGCTCTCCTGGAACTAGCTTTTGTAGACTACGCTGGTCTCTTAACTCACAGAGATCCGCCTGCCTCTGCCTCCTGAGTGCAGGGTTACTGAGTACATTTTAAGGATGAAATTTGAAGCCTGATGTGCCAAGAAAACGTTGTGCAATGCCACAAGTGTCTACCCTCCTGTTGGCCCTGTAGCATGACATTCAGAGCTCTCAGAAGATGCCCTCAGCCTGACCTCCTGTGACTTCTACTTTCCCAGTAGCACCTGCTTATAATTTGGGCTTTTCTGCCTCCATGCTGCAACTTACACAGTTTGCAAAATGTTTTCTCAATTGTATCCACTAAATCTTGTCTATCATTCCACTTAGCTGGAGCATTTCTATACTGCTGGGGTCTACAGTGTTGTCTACCATCTTTGAATTCTCTACTATTGAAGCCTCTTACTCCTGGTTCCTGGAAAAAACACATATTTTGCTTTGTGTTCTCTGTTGGACTATATTCTCACCTACCTTTGTTTATACAGATCCACAATTCCTTGAGTGAGATATACTTCAGGATTTTGACTTCAATTTTGGAGAAATTATACAGATATACTTCCTAGCATTCCAGTAGGGCTTTGGAAAGCACATATGATCATGTTCCTTCATAGTTGTAGCATAAAATATGACTTTTAATATAAAGTAGGGTGAAGATTGTAAAAAACTCAATCAGTTCAAGATCAAGCTTTATCACTGAATTAAATTCTTGTAGTTTCCAGATTAATTTCAGGGTTATAGAAAGGGGTTGTGGACTGCTAAATCTTGCTGTCCTTGGCATCATGTCCCACCTCAAAACCCAACTCCAAACCATAGATCAAACATAAGATATGCCACAGAGTACATGCCCAATTAATGTTTATTTGAACCTCTGCCTGGGTGTCTGGGGCAGTGGATGGGCATATGAACCTCTTTCTTCAAGGTTATTATTATGTAAACACTAGTCTGGATGTGGTAGCACATGCTTTTGATCCTGGCACTCAGGAGGTGAAGACAGGTGGATCTTTGTGAGTTCAAGGACAGCATGGTCTACAAATCCATGCAATGCCTGTAATCCCAACACCTCGGAGCCTGAGGCAGGAGGAATGACAAGTTTTAGGCCACCTGAGTTACAAAATGAAGCTTTGTATAAAAAAAAATTTAAAAACCCAAACCAGAAATCCATAAAGAGCCTTCAACCTGACTCTGATTTCTATTGATTTGTCTTTTTTACTTGACAAATAGAGGGCAGCCAAAACAAAGAAAGCTGGTATTTGTTCAGTTAGTGGGAAATACTTATGAAAGTTCAAAGGTCTAGCTATTACCCAATTCCATGAAGCTCTTGATGAGAAGCCATAGACTACCTTGACTCTTGGAGGTCTTGGGAGCCACCATTATCATTGAAAAAATTGTTTGTCTTTATTTTATATGCATGGGAGTTCCTTGCATGTATATCTATGCACATGCCAGAATGGGGCCTTGGATCTTCTGGGATTGGAAGTACAGGTGGTTGTTAGCCACCATGTGGGTGCTGGGAACTGAACTCATGTCCTCTGGATGAGCAGCCAATGCTCATAATCACTGAGTCATCTCTCTGGTTTCTTGAAAGCTAGCATTTGATTAGAAGCAGCTACCCACTTTTAGGAAACTGGCAGCTGTTTTTTTTTTTTTTCACCCCTGAAATTGTCCTCAAATAGGACTTCTTATTCTATCCCTGCAGAGAACACTTTCCCTAAGGAGCACCACCCTTTTACTTCAAGGTTATTATTATGTATACACTACTCTGGATGTAGTAGCACATGCTTTTGATCCTGGCACACAGGTGGATCTTTGTGAGTTCAAGGCCAGCATGGTCTACAAATCCAGTTCCAGAACAGACCTCTGTGAGTTCGGGGCCAGGCTGGTCTACAAAACAAGTTCTGGGACAGCCAGAGCTGTTACACAGAGAAACCCTGTCTCGAAAAATCAAAACCTCCCCAAATCCCACCCCCCCCCAAAAAAACAAAGAAAAATAACCCAGCAAACCCCACAAATAGTTGCTGATCCTTAAGGTGACTGTTGTTAATTAGATAATCTGAGGGCTAGTGCTAGCTTTGAGATGAATGTGCTTTAAGGAGGAATGAATTCTTAACAATTCTCTAGTCTTCTGATTTCCCTTATGTCAAATGAGAATGATAGACAGATATTAGGGTTCAAGATGAAAGATCAGAGAAACAAAGCAGCCAAGCCAGTAGCTCTTACTTTTATCCAAACTGAAGCAATCCAGCCCTCAACATGGCTGGAGACTAATTGCCCCAGACTGAATATCTACTCCTATCCTGTATACCTCTCTAAAGCTATTAAAGGCATGTGAACCCAAGTGCTGAGATCACCTTTGTGTGAGCTGTTTCTCTTTTAGGCTGGATCAATTTTGTGTAGCTCAGTGTGACCCTGAACTAACAGCGATCCATCTGCCTGTCTCCTGAGTCCTGGGATTAAAGGTGTGTGCCAGCACTGCCTGGCTCTATGGCTAGCTAGTATGGCTGCTGGGATTAAAGGTAACACCACTGCCTGACTTCTATGGCTTGTGGCTAGCTTTGCATTCTAAACCCTCAGGCAATCTTTATCAAATCATAAGTAATATATCACCACAGGCAAACTGTGTATCATCCCTATCATCAAAGCAGGGACACAAGTATACCTTTAATGTAAAGTTCTTCAAACTCAAACGTAAGGTATTTCAGCAATGTTGGACACTTTGTTCACCTACCATCTAGGTAAGTGATTTCCTTCACTCATCACTCAATAGATGTTACTTCCTTGCCCATTGATCTCCATGCATCCTACGAACCCATATAAATGCCTTCTCATCTATGGAAATTTAGGAATACATTTTATTTAGTAGCCTACCTGCTTCAAGTAACACCATATACATTATATCCTTACAACAACACTACCTAGTAAATACTTTTATGATTCCCAATTTCAAAATGTTGTTTTTTAATTATATTTGTTTATTTAAGTTTTACTTTTGTGCTGGGGATAGGATGGGGAACATGAGCAGACTTGGCACAATGCAGGTATGGAAGTCAGAGGACCATTTGGAGGAGTTGCTAAGTCACCTCTCACCAGCTCCATGATTCCCATTTTCTAGATGAGATGGGATGAGAAGGAATAGAATGGGAGGCATGGACAAAGGAATACATCAGCATTGTCATTCCCGTCAGTTCCACAAGTGTTCAGTATATCTCTTCCAGTCACTACCATCAAAGAGAATGTAAGAAATAGCCAGTGTCTTTGCTTCTGGTCTCGGTTAGTCATCTTGCTGCTGTGACAAAATACTTGCCAGAAGTAACTTAAAGAAGGAAGGGTTTGTTTCAGCTTACAGTTCCAGGGGACACAGTCCATCAAGGAGGGAAAGGTATGGCAGCAGGTGCGAGGGGCAGCAGGTCACATTGTATTTAGAGGCAGAAAGCAGAGTGATACATGTTCATGCGTAGTTAGCTAGCTTTCCCTAGCCCATGAAATGGTCCTGCTCACACTCAAGTGAGTCTTCCCCCCTCAGTCAAGCTTCTCTGGAAATACCCACACAGACATACCCAAAGGTGTATTTCCATGGCAATTATAAGTTTGTTTGTCTTTGAGGCAAAGTCTCACCATGTTCCTCTGGCTGGCCTGAGACAAGGCATGGAAACACTTCTGAGAAAAAGAAACAGTGACAGAATTTCCCAGCTCAGATCACATCAGATTGGTTCAAAAGTGAAATGGCTTTTGGGTGAGTGAGATGGCTCAGCAGGTAGAGGCACTTACAAGCCGAGTTCAGGTGATGGAAGGAAAGAATTGACTCTGTTAAATAGTTCTCTGATCTCTACTCACTCACCATGACTCTCTGTGTGTGTGTAAATAAATGTAATAAAAGTCTTAAAAACTCACATGTCTTTTTAAAAATGTAATATTGAGGGCTGAACAGCTCAGTGGTTGAGAGTACTGGCGGCTCTCCCAGGAGATCAGGGTTTGGTTATTCCCAGTACCCACTTAGCAGTTCACAAACATCTGCAACGCCAGTTTCAGAGAATATTGTGCCCTTTTCTGGTCTCAAGGCCACTGCACACTCATGGTGCATAGACATACACGCAGGAAAAACAGCCACACACATAAAATAATATGTTTTAATAAAAAAATTATGATTCTAATTACCAGAACAAAACAATGTTTTCTCAGCACTTAACTATATATCAGGTGTTATGGCAAGTTGTTTGAATGTATTATTTGTGTTAATCTTTCCAAAGCTCTATAAGATAACATTACCATGGTCCATTTTGTTTTTCAGCCAAGGAAAGAGGCTGAGTGGTTACCCAGACATTAGTAGAAGATCTGAGTTTGCAAGGCAAACTAGTGTGATGACCATACTCCGAGGCAACACATTTTAGTTATTTTTAAACGAGATTTGGAGGGAGAAAAGTATATGTCAGCTGTCGCACGAGGCTAATCTCCATAGCCTGGGATGGGGTGGGCCATCATACATAGACCTCAGCTTTGGTTTCCCAAGAATGGTTGCTGGACCTGCAGAAGGAATCTTTGCTTCCTTTCAGTCTCTTGCCTTCTTGGGATGCTGAGGCAAACAGTTAGTTCCTCAACATGGTCACATCAGACCTAATCTTTGGGTTCATTAGATTTCCCAGCCTAGATGTAAAGTTTGGGAGTCTTGGGTTGAAATAGAGGCCCCAGTAAGCCAAGATAAAACTGCAGGTGCAAATCAAGACTGTTAGTGAGGCCAAAGAGAAATGTAACTACATCGCTGAACTTGTGTTAAGATTTATTGGTCCGTTCTCACCACTGTTTACTTCTTCTATTTCCATATCCATCAAAAGCTATTGGTTAGCGATCATTTTCAGCTGAGCCCAGCAGGCTCAATCCACTAATGGCAGAGAGGAGAGGGCAGGGAGATCTTCTACACTGAGCCATAATCCCAGCCACTTAGACGGTGAAATTGTTTTTCAGGGTTTTACACTGCCATTTCTGTTCACCCTTTAATGAATGCTTTCTGTCCATAAATGAAGCAGAGATGGAAAAAGAGGTGAATAAGTGCTAACGTAAATTGCAGTAGGTCAACCACAAATACAGGCTTTCAAAAAAAAAAAGTTCTTTTCTATTTCTATTTTTTTTTTTTTTTTAGTGTGGGTTAAGGTGCTTGCTGATTCCTAAAGTACTTCCTGAGTTTGATTAGTATGCCCAATGTATCAAAATTGCCTTTGCAAACCTTTATTCTGTAATCCATGCCTGAGAGTGCAAGGTCCTTTTCAAAACCAGATACAGATCAGGCGATAACGTGCATTTCTCACCATTATATGTCTCTTACTGAATCACTAGTCATATGCTAGGTAATGGATATTAAAATTGAAACAGGCAGGCTCTAAAAAGCTATAGTTGACCTTTCTTTTTAGTTTGGGGGCACATAGTTTCTTTTTCAGTGTGAGTCATTGCTACAAGAAAAAACTGCAAATAATAGAATATACTTTCCCTGAACATAGTGTGTTTGTTTAAGAAGCTACATGTGGCTTTGACATTTACACTCCAGTTCTTTTCCACTATCCTGAATCATGGCCAGGGACTAGAATTACTGTGTGGGCAGGTTGATTGTCTTCCTAAATGCTATGTTGCCTTACAGCTTGGCTTTGGATCATTCCTTGGAATCATCGGATCAAACCTTATTGAGAACAAGCGGCAGATGGTGAGTTTTCACCCTTCTAGAAAGCCCAATGTTTATGTGGATAAGTAACAGATCTCTTAAGCTTGTGCAAATTTGACCACAAAAGAAACTGTTGCTTCACCTTTCTGCCTAAGCCTTCAGAGAACTTGTCTCATAGTCAGCCAGTGGTATGGGACTGGTTTGCATCTTGCCTACTGTTTCCTCACTGACCTACCCAATCTCTTTAAGCTTTCTCCTTCATTCTCAAAAGGATGCTTCAGACTCTTCAATCAGGCTGCTGTCTTGGCCAAGAATTTCTGCTTCTGTGTTATACAGCACTGAGTTATTTGTTACTTTTGTGGTTTTCTTTTGGTTACACAATCTTTTGGAAAGGTTTTCACAAAGGGTCTTTACCTTTTAGGACATTATAGTCTAGGGAACTTTAATTAAGAAAACAAGTGTAAATTTGGTATGGTGATGCATGCCTCTAGTCCTTACACACAGGAGGTTGAGGAGGATCAGGAGCTCGGTTCAAGATCACCTTTGAATACTTCTTGAATTCAAGACCAGCATGGGCTACTTGAGACCTTGTCTCCAAACCAAAAGCCAAAGTGAAAACTAAAAAGAGAAAGGCAGTAAATATGACTTGAGTCATAGACCAGACAAATTAAAATTATGAAGTCAATCTGCAATATCTTTGTGTCTTTGACATCCGTAGTTCAAAGCCAAGGGTGTTATAAAGTTGAGAGGAAGGATCAACACTTAACAGAAGTGTTAACAGGATCCCCCAAAGGCAAGCTGATGTATTTTCCCGGTTGAGTTTTGAGAAGGCTTCTGTGAGGGCAAGGGGTAGAATGGATAGGCTGAATTGTAAGCACAGTACAGTCTTACATAATTATAAATCAGGAAGCCTAGTGAGTAGTCAGACGCTGGACTGATCAGATTCCCCGTGCACAAGTCTTTGTGGCATCCAAACTTTGGCAATGGGGTCTGTTTAACATCAAGTTTAATCAAATGATGTAATAGCTCAAGGGGCAGAACTCTAACCATACATTTCCCTCAGGGGACTTCTAATAGTTTCTTCTTCCATTTTACCTGGACTTCAACCCTTGCCAGTTGTGTTTGCACTTTGGGCTTAAATTATTCAAAATAATGGGGGGAAATTTTAATTGTAGAGCTGATCATAGCATAGCTAATAATGCCAATTTCATGACATCGTTCATCCATTATTTACCAATTATCTGCAGTGCTGTGAAGTGAGATTTATGGAGAAAGGTTTCTGAACAACTCCCAAAGGAGATAAGTATTTCCTCTCAGCCTGCTGAAGTGGGTGAACCCTAGGGTACCCTTGGCTTTGATTTTTTTCCTTCTCCCTGGGGAATAGCTTGATGCCATGTTATTTCCTCCTCTTTCTCCCCAAAAGCCTCAAGAAAGAAAAATGCTGATTCCATGTAGTTCACAGGGTCAACCATGGCAGATTGTGGGCTCATGTATCATGTCGCCTTGTCCTTGGAGACATTCTGAAGTTGTGGTGACCCCACAGCTTAGGTTGAAACAGTGTCATGGTACTACATGACACACTTTAGGAAAATTTATGTTATCTAATGTGATTAATGAATTTGACAATCTGGTTTTGTTATTTAAAACTTTCTAGCTAGGCATGGTTGTCCATGCCTGTGTTCCTAGCATTTGGGTTGCTGGATCAGAAGTTTAAGACCAGACTTATCCAATATAAAATGAATTTGAGGCCAGCCTGGGCTACATGAGGCCATGTCTCATAAAAGAGAAAGAAAAATTTTATATATACTCCACAGAATTTATCCATTTCAGAGACTTCAATCCTTGCAAAATCTCTCTGACACTTAAGTGTTAGTAAATGGAGTGTCCCCTTTCCTCAATGATATAGGAGGTGATGTAGAGGTGTGCAGGACCTAAGACTCACTCTTGTTTTCATCGGTGTCCACTGTGTCATCAAGCAGCAGAGTGAGGGGGTACAAAAAAAAAAAAACAAATGACAAGGGGTTTATGGGCATCAGTTCTTTCATAGACTGAGTAGAGACCCTGGACACACTGTTTCCCCTCCCGGTGCCTCCATTTCCACATAAATAAAACATAGGGTTGGATTACATGATGTCCAAGGTCCAACATTTTTCTGAATCTGAGGATGGAAGGGCTACGCAGTCCAATTCCCTCACGGACAGCATGCTGGATAGCAGCAAGCTTCTCCGTCTGGTGCTCACAGAATGAATTTATGAGCTTACCCTGAAAATGTATTACAGAATTGCTTCAGTTTCCCCTTCACTCCCTCCCTGCCTACCCTCATGCCCATTCATCCTGCATGACAAAAAATATATATATATCCCCATCAGGGACAAGACTAGAGTTCTGCTTTGGCTGGCAGTCTCTGGGGGATTACCTAGTCTCCAAAAGCAGCAACAGTGAAAGGCTAACAGACGTGTTTATTTTCTTCCCTCCTGCAGCTGGTGGCTTCTATCGTGTTTATCAGCTTTGGTGTGATTGCGGCTTTTTGTTGTGCCATAGTTGATGGGGTCTTTGCTGCCAGACACATTGTGAGTATTATTAGCCTTGAGCTGAAGTAATTGTGCGAGACTGCAAACCCCCAGTGAATGTGTACTGAGTGCTCTGAGGGACACATATACAGAAGGAAGCTCTTCTTCCTTCAGTAGCTTGTAGTCAAGGTGAGAGCATCAATGAACAATGCAATCATCTAGAAGACTGAGTGTATACAAGCAGAACACACTACAGGTGCCACGATGGTACCTGGAGTTCATTATGTCTTGAATTCCAGAGCACAGGAAAAGCTTCCCAAAGGCAATAGGGATGAGCCTAGCCTTTTGGCTTGTGAAATTTGAAAAGGCAGAAACAAGGGAATGGGGTTAGGGGATGACTTGGAACTGTTCTCAAAGGTAGGGATAGAGAAGCCGGAAGCCTTATGACTTCCTGGAAGCACTAAAAGTGTTTAAGCCAACCTCCCCTTCGACAGCTACAAGAACAGACCACAAATTCAACGTTACCTTCCTCAGATACCCAAATATTGCTGTTCCTATAACAGTGGTTGGAATGTAATGACATGGATGTCTGGAAAAAGATTAGAGCTAAAGCCTCAACCCTGAGTTCAGTCCTTCAGTCCAGGTGTCAAATGCTTCCCATTCTGCAGAAGCTATGGATTTATGAGGGCCATTTTCACCCCGAACCCTAAATTTGTGCTCCTTATTTGGAGAACTCTGGACTAAGGGCCTTGCCCACTCATTGAAGCCTAGTTCTTTGACAATCATAGGCATGTATATAAATGCATACAGATTACTGTCTCCATCCTCCCTCTTTTTATCCCCCTCCCTCTCCTATCAACAGCCCCTCCTCACTCCCTGTCTTTTTCGCAGATTCGTGATTTTTTTATTTTGTGACTTTGTTTAATTTGCCCAGAGACATCTGCGTGACCATTTTATTGGAACAATTTTTTGCAACCTGGTAGAATCACCAATGGGTACATAACTGAAGGCATTGGTACCCTGTTTACTGAATTTAACAGTAGGAAATAGTTCACCAATCTGTTAGGGCTTCCTGAGCCCCATTTGTAGCCATGCCTGGCTGTTAATAGACCTACTCTTGTACATATCCAGAAAAGTCATCCCATAATTGTTGAAAAATGTGTGTTTCCCCTTGAAGATGGCATTTTGCAGCCCCTCTTCGTAGCTTCAAGCTCTTACATTCTTTCTGCCTCATCTTCTGCAATATTTCCTGAGCCTTGGAGGGAATGGCATAAATGTCATACTTAGGGCTGAGCACTCAACTGTCACTGATTCTCAACACCTTTTGCAACTGTAAGTCTCTGCATTTGTCACAGTTCACTAGAAAGAAAGCGATTAAGGCTGAGAGTGATAATTGTCTATTTGTATCAACATATATATTTAGAAGCTGGTTCAATGCTATGTCTTTCAGCTAAACAATGGAATTGAGGTGTCCCTTAGGGCCGGTGACTTCCCCCACCATGTGCTTTTAAGCAGATTTACAGTTATGAGGTATAGAGTCCCTCTCATGGGGTGGGCTTCAAATACAATATGAGAGTGCTTGATCATCACCCACAACAGTTCTCACAAGTGCGTGCAACTGGCCTGGAAGGTTGGTATTATAGCTCATAGTGTTCAAAGCTGGGTATGCCTATTAATGCCCCCTCCCCACTGTTGGCAGCTTCCCTAGTGCCTTCTGGCCCTTGCCCTTCTTTTACCATGTTCTGATTCACACCATTCCAGATTTCTGGCCCAGGAACAACTTTTCCATTAATCATAGTAAGCATAGTTAGTGCCTAGAACACATAGTAATTTTAGGGTCACAAAAATGCTATTATTTCTTCTCCAATAAGAAGAAAAATGGTGAACTTTTAGGTTGAGACAAAAAGCCTGGCACATAACATAAATATATTGGTTTTTATATCAATGCAACCATAAAACATGGTCTAAAAATACTTTTCAGTGTCAGAAGGGGATTAGAAAACCAAAACAAAAGAGCCTTGGACACAAGAAATCATTAAGTAGCCCTGGTGTGGTCCAAAAACCAAAATCAAGAGCAAGACAGCAGCTTCCCAAGCTTCCAGAGCAACTCCGTTTTTCGACAGAATTAAACTTGAAAATGAAAATATTTCATGAACTGTTGGAAATTGTATTTTCTAAAATAGTTGAAGTAGAGCAAAATGAGCTTATCAGAATTTGCCACGGATCAAATTGCATATTGTTGTGCTTTAGTCATCGGGTAAAGGTCATTTGAAGAAGTGTCAAGGGTATGTCTAGTTCTGGGTTAGAATAATCTGAGACAGAAACATTTCAATTGGACCTCCTTCTCGGACTACCCTTTCAGACAGAAGAGCCAGCCCCTTATTTGCCACGATCAAAGGGGCTCATTATTGTTAATGCTGTAACCTACCCAGCCTCTGAAAAAAGTAGCTTAGGAAATAATTTGGGTAGGAAGAAAAATAATGTATGGAAAGTGAAGCCCTTTTTCTGATTTGTTTTGAGGGCCTGGAATATAAATCTTATCCTCTCTATGAGATTTAAACATTCTGTTTTTAGCTGAGAAGAGCTATCTCTTTTTTCCAACCATGTTTTGATTCCTAAATGGTATAGCAGTGATTATTAACAGTTAAAATTCTGTCCCCTAACAGCAATTCTGGTGGACTTTGCATATTACTCTTTGAATATTTACATGTGTTTGCAGCATTGGTTGTAGTCAATCATAGTGTGCATGCTATTTTGTATTCAATAGGAGCCATCTTAATAACACTAATTCCTTGTTTTTCTATAGTACATTAGGTTTTCAATGTGTCTTCACATCTATTATCTCATTTGAGACCTACAGCAATCCTGTGAGATATGTAGGGCAGGCATTATTATCCCCATTTGACAAACAGTACTCACTTTGAAACAGTCTCCATGGCAACATAGGCCTAGCAGCTCAGAAGCCTGTAGTAGATTTTGATGGCATCATTGAGCTAAAATGGCTTCCTTTTTTTTTTCTTTCTTTCACCCGTAATGTTTTAAAAATGGATTTACTAAAATACAGTTTATATGCTGTAAAACTCACCCATTTGAAGATTATAATCCAATAGCTTTTAGTATATGCACAGTTACATGGAGGTATCAGACAGTTTTAGATTTTTTTTTCATATTAGCAAAAAGAAACCCTATATCCTTTGCTCATTTTATCCTGTCTTTCCGTCCTCCTCACCCTAAGCAACAACTTTAATAGCTATCCCTATTCTAGACATTTCATACTAAAGGAATTTCCTTTATGATTGGCAATCTTTTATTTAGTATGTCTTCAAGGTTCATCCAGGCTGTTTCATGGATCAGAGCTTCATTCTGTTTTATGGTGGAATAATGGTACACTGTGTGGATATACCATGTTTTGTTTGTTCCTTCACCAGTTAATGGACATTTGGATTGTTTCTACCATTTCACTTTTACAGATGATGATGTGGTTAATATTTGGGCTTCTTTGTATTTTCATTTCCTTTCCATTTAGGAATGGAACTGCGAGGACATATGATAATTGTGTACTTGTTTGAGGACTACCAGACTGTTTTCCATATACTCACCTGTGATACATTAGGATTCTGATGTCTTCCAAGCCTCACCAACTTTCATTATTATCTGATTGCACTAGTGAGTGTGAGGCAATACCTCATTGTGGTTGTGATATTGTGATTTATATTTATATTTCCCTCATGGGCCTAGCATTGTGGATCATTGGATCAATGATGAAAAAAAATAATCCAAGCCCTACTGACTGGGAAGTTCCTATGATTACAGTTTTAGTTACTTTACCTGTTGAAGTAATAATACCCTGGCAATAGCAAGTTAAGTATGGGCATAATTTTGCTTCAGGATGAGGAACAGTCCCCCATGGCAGAGAAGGCATAGTGGCAGGGGCTCGAAGCACTGGTTACATTGCATCTGCAGCCAGGAAGCAGGAAGCAGACACGCTGGCTCTCAGCTCACTTTCTACTTTTTCAGTTCAGGATGACAGCCCAGGGAATGGTGCCACTGTCCTTCAGGGTGTGTCTTCTCACTTCACTTAAGCCAACCTAGACCGTCACTGTCAGTCATGATCATAGGCTAACCTAATCTAAGTGCGTTCTCACATACACCTGGAGACTTGTATCCAAAGTGAATCCAGGTCCTGTCAAGTTCATAATCATTATTAACTACCACAACAACCTACTCATCTCTAAGTCTTAAGGCCGCTTATACATTCTGTGGTTGCTTAGTGGTACAGTATCATTGTATTCAACAGATTTTGATGGCATCATGATGCTGCTAAATCACAGATCCTCTAGCTGTCCTTATGTCCCCAAAGTCGGACCATGCTCCCCTGAAGTCTCTCTCATACTGTGACCTTTCTGAGCTGACTCTTCTCTCCCCTTCAGCTGCCACCAAGTCCAGCTCCTCTTGATTCCCAGACTTAAGACAACCCAATTGAAACTTTACTCTTATGACTTCTATCATATTTCACTAGACATATGGAGTTTGCCCCCCAACCACCAGAAAACCTGTAAGAGTTAGAAACCACTCTACAGAATCAAATAATCTACATCCCCACAGGACCCCTTCCCAATGAACATTTGTTTTGAAGGATAGGCACAGCTTCTACAAACCTGCTTTCTTCTTTTAGTTATAATAGATGTCACAAGTAAGGCTAGATACATCTTCAAGAAAATATTTCTTCTAACCCTGAACCTGCCCAAGGACATTTGGCACTTGTCCTTGACACCTAAATCATTTTGGGGGAAGGGGAGTATTCTGTAGCCACATTTATTGGACTACTTAATGAAAGTCACATTTAGATCCTAGACAACTTGGGTGTGTTGAAGCCACCCTGCCCTGTTGGTGAGGCCCTTTAATATCTTCTCACCATATTTCCTTGACTTGAGTGAATCTAAACTTTTTCAAGACCTAATAATTTTGAACACATCCCCCTAAAGTGTGTTGTTCCTTATTTCTCCATCTACCCATCTATGGTCATTCATTAGATGGAAAAATAACTTCACTTTCTTGTGTCACAATTTCTTTCTCTTCCCAGTGTATATAGCAGAATTTTACCTTTCAGGGTTAGAAATTAAGTAGTAGGTATGCTCGTGCCATCTAATATATAGCAGTATCCGTTTCCATCCCTTCTTGCCAAGGTCCACAGTCCTTTGGGCTAAAGAGGTTGAAAGCTCATGCTCAGTGACCTCTTCTCACCCCTGAATTGCCTGTGCTTGCCCTTCTTCTGGGGATTAAGTGTAGAATAGCAGCCAGACATAGCTAGTGGGCAATCATCCTGCATGCCTGTCTTCGTTTAGGGGTGGTGGCCGAATAGCTTCTGTAAAACCAGGTCACAGGGCTACGGCCACCAACATGGTCAAACCTTTTCTTGAGCACAATAATAATGAATCTGATGTTACTCCAGCATAGAAAATAATTCCTGCCAGTTGTGAGTGTGAAGAATCCGAATTCCTCTCTTGTCTGACTCCAGACTGAATTAATGGCAACACATTTTTGTAACACTGAACAGCAAGAGAATTACAAAGCATGAACTGATGGAAAGCCCAAGGTCATTGATGGGGTCACAGAAGAGAAGGCAAGAGGCACTCAATGCCAAGTGTAGGGGATTCTAAATCATAGGTATAGAGAAATGGCCATGAAGATTTGAAGTAGAAAAAAGTGAGGGCAGAAGGGGAAAGGCCAAAGATAAACCCATTCTCCCTGGACACTTTGAACTAAACCCTTAAAGACTATTTTGCATAAACTTTTGTCTTACTAATGTGACTTTGTCCAAAGACCCCTACTACATAGGGCTGCTTAGCATCCGTTCTGGAAATGATAGCATCTTCTGCTTACAACTTTCCAGGTATTTCTGGTTTCCAACCCTCGTGCCTGAGAGCTTCATCAGAAAGCTGGTCAAGTTAGCAGAGTAAATGAACTGTCCTTGATGTCCACATATTAATTTCTTTTCTTCACCTTAGAGGTACAGTTTAAGTTTCCCAGCTTCAAGCTGTGTAGGTGGGTGAAAATGGCTTGTAGTTCAGTTGAGTTAAAATCTCCAGCTGACTAGGTAGCTGCTCCTCCTCGACTTTTGGCTTCTTCCACTCTTCCCTTTGAAAAGGCTGTGGAAATATCAGCAGGGAACACAAGTCAACCAGCCCTGGTCTAGTCTCCAGGTGATAATGAGACTTCATAGTTGGAGCTGCACTCTCTCTATTTAGAAGTGTAATATTGCAATAACCTGGAGTTTTGAATCTTGCTCCCCAGGGACTGCTTGCAAGAAGACAAAGTCTAGAAGTAAAAGAAAAGCAGAGACGAAATTTCAAGAAACTCACTTTTCAATCAATCTTCTTGGTTTCTCATTAATCAAAGTAGCCCAACAGAATACAGTTATTAGGATGATTTTGTCTGATCCATACATTCTCAGGCCCCCTCATAGACAACTTTAAGAATTTAACCCAGCCTACTGCACCCCCCCCTCTGTGTGTTTTCAAATCTTTTATTAGTAAGCAGGACTCTTGGTATTTTACTTTCCAAAGCCAAAACCCTTTTGGTTTGGTGTTTCCCTTTATAGGATTTGAAACCACTCTATGCTAACCGGTGCCACTATGTTCCCAAGACATCCCAGAGGGAAGCTGAGGAGGTGAGCCACAATGATGCTGCATGTCTTTACCTCATGGGAAAGTCCCTTGTTTGTATCTGAAACGACCTTTCTTAAAAAAATAGATTTATTTATTTTATTATTTTATGTGTATGAGTGTTTTGCCTGCATGTATGTATGTGCACCACATGTGTACTAGAGGTACACATAGTTATGAGACACCATGTGGATGCTGGGAATCGAACCCTGTCCTCTGCAATAACAAGTGCTCTTAACTGCTGAGACAACTCTCCAGCCATGAAACACTTTTTCTATATTACTTCTTTTCACAGGCATAAGGCTTACTGCCAGATGGTTTGAGCTATTTGTTCAGTGGGTCAAAACAGCATACCTGAGGGACATATCATGGGTTGGAGCCTCAGGAGGCCTAATCAGATTAATTTTGTTCCATGGCCAAGGCTGCCTCTCTGACCTTAGCCAGTTGTCTCTCAGTGTGTGCTCCTCCCACATCTCTATTGATGATGACTCAGTTGCCTGGATTTGGTGCTCAGCTTAACGAAGGTACAAAGCCCACCAAGACACTAGGCCTGTGCTAAGAAGGCAGAGCATGAATCCCACCCGTGGGCAGGGTCTGCAAGCCAAATCAGGATAACTGAGCAATCGTTCTATCTCAGGGTTCTAAGGAGGCCCAGAGTGTTAGTGTGGCCTTCTCATGACACTACTAAGAGGCTGCCCTAATAAGCTTTGAGTTGGTTTGGGAGAGGTTTTGTTTGTTTGTTTTGTTTTTTGTTTTTCCTGCCCCATACTTACTCGTGTTCCATGTTGCTTCAGCACTAACAGTGGAAACATTGGGTGGGGAGCACTTTGATTTTTGCACATCATAGTCCCATCCTGAAATTTTACCTGTTTCTGGGAAGTCTGACAAGTTGGTATTCTGTTAACCTCAAAAAAAAAAAAAAATGAAACTCACTGTGAGGATATGCCCAAGAGTACATTAGCAGCACAAATTGGACTCTATGGGGGGGGGGGATAAAGGACATGAAGTTGGGTTGGTAGGGAAGCAGGGAGGGATCTAAGAAGAGTTAGGAAAGGGGGTGAATAGGATCAAAATGAATTGTATGAAATTCTCAAAGAACTGATACAAATTACAAAGCAATATTAAAAGATAGCACAACTATGATTGAAAAAGCAAAAAAGAAGACAAATGGAGGCAAAATAGTCACTATATCACACAACCTCATTGGGGGCTGCTTTATAAAAAAACACATCATGTTCTTGGAGTTAGACAAAGTCATAGTCTTCCTCTCAAGAATGTTCAATGATTTGATTATGGTAGTACCATTCACTCCCCTCCACTTTCTGTTAGTAACCAGAAAGTTAGCATTTTTCTAATTGTTCCTGGGTTAGAAGGAGGAATAAAATGTGTGTGCTAGCAGCATAGCAAAGAGGCAATGGGCACTTGGATGAAGGGCCCAATATGAAGAAAAGTGCCTATTTCCTATGACTATTTCCTCAGCAAAGCCAACCAAATGTGAAAGTACTTTACTACACCCTTTAGAGGGAAGGAAACTTGAAAATTTTCTTGTGTAAAAGCAAGAGAAGGTAGGTGCAGATTATTCCTTATATTTTTTAGTTTTGCAAAACATTTTTATAAACTCAGAGTGTGTAAGACTGTTAGCTATTCTCTTGATTTCGTTGTGAAAGCTTTCTTGTGTTAACTTGCCGGTGGCACAAATATTCACAACACTTCCCATAGGTTTGCTTGTAATCCTGTTTCTCTTAACTTGATGATTTTTTCTGTATAAGGTCATAACTACCTCAAGCAAAATTTCTCCTTCTACGAGGGCTTTGAGGAACCTTACCCAGGCAGTTAAAGAGGTACTGTTGTATTTCAGTATGCATGTGATGTCCCCTCTGTATTCCTTCCTAGCAGGTTCTCTTTCATCCCGTGTCTCGATTTTCCCACCCTTCATATCCTCATTCCCTAATACCCATTTACTATTCCATCTGCCCTTCCTCTTCTCTCCCACTACCTTGTGTAAGTGGGCCACTAAGGACTGTGCCTGGGGCTAAACACAATCCCAGCTTTACATGTGCTTGCTTTATACACAGGCATAACTAGCTACCTCTCTGCTTAGGCTCCTCTTTCTTTTGCATGGGTATGCTCATGTGCCAGCCATCATTTCTGTCTCTATCAGTCACTAACTCACATTTTAATCCCAGAGGACCAATCCTCCCATCCAGTGCTAGCTTCTCCCATTGTCGTTTTGTGTTTTCAGGTGAACTGCCCTCAGCTTAGCCGTGGACTCTGCACACCTCGAATCCGGGGCAACACCTGCTTCTGCTGTGACCTCTACAACTGTGGCAAGTGAGTATGGTACCATGAACACAGCAGTAACTGTTTGACCGTGTTGGATGCTAGGAGAGCCAAGGCTGGTGAAGGAGATTATAGAAGTGTAGGTTATTGGTCTGTGCCAGATTCCACCTGACCGGCCTTCTCTGCACAAAACCTCACTGGATACTTTCACAATCTTAATCTCATTTCATTGTCTTTACATTCCAGCACTACTAGATCTACATCCAGCAGTATCTACCAATATTTCCATTCTTGGTGCCTGGACCTGCTCTACATACTAAGGATTATGCAGTGATTAAAGCAATAGTCTTTGTCCAATAGAGTTTACATTCTAGCGGGGGAGTTAATAGAAACACACATAATACTTAATGAAATGTTGGGTGTGATTAGAGTTCTAAAGAAAAATGGATCAAGAAAGGTAGACACCAGTGAGGAGAAATTGTGTACACAAATTAAGTATGGGATGTATCTTTGTGAAGGTGACATTTGCGAAGGGAGTTGAGTAAATCTGGAGAACAAAAAAAAAAAAAAAAAGATGAGAGATCCCCAAGGAGAGAGTTTGTAAGCAGAGGGGACAGCGAACAATTAGGGCTCCAAAGCAGGGTTGGTACCAGTAATCTTACAACCATTCAAACTCTCTGCCTTCCAATTATGCTTACACCAGGTATTCTTTATGTCAGAACATTAGGAGATAAGAATGCAGATTTGATGCCTGTAGGAAAGACAGGTAAATGAATAATTGGCATGCAAACAGAATAGTGTAGTGAGGATCAGTGGACCCTGGTGGCCTAAATGAATGGGAGACAAATTAGAAGCAGGGATTTATGATACAAACTAAAAGCAGGCAGAGGTGGGGAAGATATACTTGCAAGTTGTGAGAAGTGCAGGAAGCTATAGAAAAATGCAGGGGGTGCAAAGGGAAATCAGGAGCCACACAAATAGTAAAGAACCCTTTGGCTTTAAAAATGTAGGCAAGTGGAGCTATTGGAAGTGTAAAGAATTGAAGATGAACTGGAACTGGTAGACACTTTAGACAACTGGGATGCTGGAGAGAATGAGACCTACACCAAGTTGGTTGGTTTAGTGGCAATGGAAAGCAGGGAGGTATTTCATTTTTTAAAGGCAGGGTTTCTCTGTGTGTATTCCTGGCTGTCCTGGAACTTGATTTGTAGACCACGCTGGCCTCAAGTACCTTTTAAAGAATACCTTACAAGGCAGAATTGGCAGAGATTGTGTGTGTGTGTGTGTGTGTGTTTGTGTGTGTGTGTGTGATACATATTATGAGAGAATAGCCCTATATATATGGTGTTGTTAGATAATGCTTGTCTATGCATGACTGTTTTCAGATTTAGTGTAGGAGAACTGAAGGCCAGAGGAAGGAGGGAGGAAGTAGCAGAGGAGGGCTAGATGGATCTAGATGGAGAGGCCTCAAAGGGAAACAGTGTACTCCTACACATTCCCTTACTGTTGATATTCAGAGGCCAGTTTCTCTGGTCTGAGGATTGAAAACTGACAGGCTGGAAGGACAGAGAACCCTTACAGTGTTTGCTCATACCAGTCTCATTTCGTTGAAATGTCTGGCAGTAGAGAAAGAAACGGTCAAAGGTGCAGTTGGGGTGTAAGGACTGTCTGGGATGGAAGGGAAAAGCATAATTATCAGTAATAGTCAGCAGCTCAAAGGGAGTCCCTCCTTAGTAAGGCTGATTGAGAGCAGTTTTCCAAAAGCGATCAAGAAACATAAGAACTGGTGTTACGTTACTGTCTTTTTTTATGGCCCCCTCTTTCTCCTTAATCCCTTCTTCATCCCTCTCTCTCTTTTTATCTGTCCCCTTTTCTGTTCACTCCCTCGTTATCCCGCCCAATTTTTTTTAACTTCTCTCCTCTCCACCTACCTCTACCCTGTTTCTCCCTGATAGCTCTATGACCTCATAGAAATGAACAGGGTCTGAGATCTGGAGACCCATAGAAAGATAAGAAGTGATTACACACACACACACACACACACACACACACACACACACACACCACATAAACATGGGGCAGGGGGAGAATTTTCCTCTACAATAGGTATGTTTCAGAAAAAGGATTAGATACATAAAAGGTTACTTAAATCCCATTTATCTGAGCCCCTAGGTGAATATTTTCTCCCTATTGTTTTTTGCAGTGCAGACTCAAACCCAACTTATCCTTTTGTTAATCTCACAATCTTTTGTTATCTTTTGTTAATTTCACAATAGCCAACTTTCATAAAGCAACTCATACCAGTGTTGTTTTTAAGAAACGAATTTGATAAGAAGTTGTACTAAACTGGACTTCCAAAGGGCAGGGGATATGATTCCATTTCATCAGCACAGACATGACTAAAGAAAGAACTGATGAAAAACTGAGAGACAGCCAGGTGGCAGTGGCGCACGCCTTTATTTCCAGCACTCAGGAGGCAGAGGCAGGTGGATCTCTGTGAGTTCAATGCCAGCCTGGTCTACAAAGCAGGACGGCCAGCCCTGTTATACAAAGCAACCCTGTCTCAAAATCAATCAACCAACCAAACAAAAGAAAACACAAAACCAACCAACCAAACAAACAAAAAACCCACTCCAAAACATGACAAAATTGTTTTCACTAGGACAAGAAAATATTAGTTGAGGCACTTGACATAGGTCACGCCATTCCTAAAGATCTTCAAGCTCAGGCGTAGCTTTACTCTACCCTGTATCAAGAAGCCAGACCCAAGTATCTGTCAGTGCCCTTTCCCAAGTCTGTGTGGTCAGGGTCCCAAGGACAAAACCAGTGGAACTGGATTTGCTCACATTTCTATCAGTTCGGAAAGCAGCTATAACACTAAATAGGGACCAGTCTCGAAATGAAGGAAAAGCTTTTTCCTTGACCCAGGTTTTATTTTTTTTTTTCAGCTAGAGCCAAAGAGAGTTAAATACAAGGCCTAAATATAGCTAGAAACCAGCATTCTGAGGCTTGGAGACTTTACTTTTGCCGAATGCGTATTTGTTTTCCTCACACGAAGCCTATTTTTAATCAATTGCCAGCTCCTCCACTCCATTTCCTGGAAAGGAGGCCAAGAAAAAACAGTGGGAACAAAAACATCAGGCAGTCATTTGTACAGTGCTACAGAAACAGAGTGCCTACTGTCCCCTCGAACCCGCCGACCTTCACTGACGTCATGGGTGGTGAGGGTTAACACCAAACATAGATTATTCCATTTAGCCTTGTGCAGGAAGGTGGCTTTCTCTAGGACACAGCTTCTCTGCGGCTGCTTTTCAGAGCATTTCTTCCTTCCATCTATTCACTCATCTTTGGAGAGGTCAAGTCAATATCACTGGTTTTCAGTGTGCCACCTAAAGGAAATGGAGTGGTTTGCACACTGCCTCAGGTGGGAACAGTCATAGAGGACAGCTTACTTCCCTTCCTCATTTCTCCTAAGAAACCTTTATGACATTCCTACTGTGTGCCCGGGATGTTGTGTTCTTTAGAAAGTCAGTTCAACAGACAGACAAAGATAGAAAAGGGGAGGGATGGAAAGAGGAGAGAAGATGAATTATCACTCCAAGCTGACTTTCTCTTATTGAAGAACAGAAAAAGGCCCTCTTGCTTTCCCCAAGATGAGCTGCAACTTCCTGGATCAAGTAGTAATTTGAACACAGGGCGTCTATTTCTTTAGGCCCACCCAGTGAGTGGAGTGCAAGGGAAAAGCAAGCCCATATCTGACAAGCACGCTCATGATCAATGCAATGGTCAGGCCTTGCACTCAGTTACTCATTTAGCGGGTGTACATCTACAGTCTTTAGTATTTCAACACTGTTCTAGGCAGTAAGAGAGACACAAAAAGGTGTAATGTAAGAGATGACCCTCGCTTCCAAGGGGTTACAAGTTTAACAGAGATATGCATCATGCTGGCCTTGGGCTTGATTATAGTACACTATTCAGCACTGAGCAGCCTCTCTCTCTATATTAGCTTAGATGCAAAACTAATAACTGACAATCTAAAAAGAAAAGAGTGTGTGAGGCTGTAGGTGTTCGGGGGGAAATCTAATGAGTATGCGCTGGAGTCCCCATCGAAGCTTTGAGCCAAAGGGGGATTTAGACAGGCTGGGAACTGAAGACAGTACCTTTCAGAAGGGAAACATCTGAGCAAAGGTTTTGAGTATGCTCCCAGTCTGGGCCTCCTAAGAACTGCAGCCTAGCTAGAGTGTACACTTCATTTTTAACTAAGATTGTAGCAGATGGAAATTTGGACATTTTTTCTGTTAATTTTCTCTCTCTCTCTCTCTCTCTCTCTCTCTCTCTCTCTCTCTCTCTCTCTCTCGTGTGTGTGTGTGTGTGTGTGTGTGTGTGTGTGTGTGGTGTGTGCCACAGTGCACATGTACACATCAGAGCACAACTTAACGGAAGTCATCAGGTTTGGTAGCAAGTGTCTTTTCCCACTCAGCATTTTCATCAGCCCTGGATCATTTTTTTGTCTTGCTGATAGTAAAGAGTCATGAAAAGGCTTGGAAAAAATGAATGGCTTTAAGTTTCAGGAAACATTTTAGGAAGATTAATCAAGCATCAATGGAGTCTGGCCAGAGTGCCTGGTAGTCATGGAGGCCCAAGAGCGAGGACGATAAGAAGGTAAAAGATGCCATTTTAGGGTAAATTTTTTTCCTCAGAAAGTGGACCAAATGAAATCATGACTCTCAAATAGAAGCAAACCACATTAATTTGCTAAAACCCATACTATAATTAAGCATTAACTTTCTTTTGCTTCATGGTTCAGTTTTTAAAAATTAAATAACTGCTGAACCCACTAAAATTGAAACCAACTCTACTTTGGAAAATTGACTCCTTTTTTTCTTCTTTGAGGTGCCAAAAATGGAACCAGAGGACTTGTACATACAAGTCCCAGATGCTTATATACTCTTAAATGAACTGTTCCCAACTCCATGTTGTGACCTGTGCCAATAAAGTATTAGTGTCTTCAAAGGTCTGAGTTATGTTCCCAGACAGTGGATTTTATAAGGAAAAAAATTCTTCCTCCTTGTTATGTGTGCGTTATACACAGTCTTTTAAGTGTGTGTGTGTGTGTGTGTGTGTGTGTGTGTGTGTGTGCGCGCACATGTGCGCGCGCACACAGGAGATACTCAAGATATGCTTATGAATATGCTCTTCAGATATGTTCCTAAAAATAATGAAATTCAGTTTAAATTCAGATGAATTAAAATACCCTTAATATTCTACTCTGAGTGGCTGAGACACATCTCATTGGTTAATTGGAGTGCCAGGCAGTTTGTGAGCTACCTGATATGGATGCTTTGGAAACCAAGGTTGATCTTCTGCCCATAACTCCAGTTTTTGGGGATCCAATGCCCTCTGGTGCTTCTGTAAGTTCGCACACACATTCATAACCACACACAAAGAGTACTTGACATACCCAGACAGACATCTGTAATACACACATTGGTGATTATGATGTAGTCTGCCCTGTAACCTCACTGATTTCGATTTCTCAGAGAAACTGCTTTTAAAGAACCCTAAGTTAAATTTATTTGTAAATTTAGAGTCATTCTTGCATGAATAATCCCTCTCTGTTTCATTTTGGAGATGAATTCTTAATTTTGTTTTGTTTATTTTTCATTGTTTTTGGTATTCCAATAACAGGGAAGTCTTCAGATGCTAGGGCATTTCATTGTATGTTTAAGCACCATGTTTCACGTTAGCTGCTTTGCAATATCCAGAAGGACAGGAATTTCCATTTAATTCCTTTATCAGGCATTTATACAACATCAAATGTGTGTCAGGCATGGCAGTTGTATGAGGTTTCTTCCCAAGATATGAACAAATGTCTATTCACCCCAGAAAGAGCAGAGATAGACCAAAGAAATTACTCCCCCTCAAGTTTGAATTAAACCAGTGAGTTTATCTTGTCACTCATTCCTTGGCGTGAAGGTGATGATTGATTCTAGCTCTCTCTCCTCTACTGATACAAAAATCTGTAGATGCTGAGGTTCTTTGCATAAAATGGGTACTATAACCTATATAACCTGCACATAGCTTTTTATATTTTAAATTACCTTTAGATTACTTATAATTTCTAATCCAATGTAAAATGTCAGGTTGTGAGGTATCATACTATATTATTTATGTAATAACAACAGGAAATGCCTATATTTGTTCAGTACAGATGAACGATTTAAATTTTCAATCCATGGCTGATTGAATTTGTGGATGCAGAACCTGCGGGGATTATGTCTTCCACATATGTATCTATGGACAGAGAATACAGATCAGTCTGCCTCAAGTAATGTGACTCAGAGTAACTAGGCTGAGTGTGGGCATCTGTAGACAAGGTAGCCAGGGAAGGGCTCTCCAAGGGCACGATACTGTGAGTTTTTGTGTTACACCTCAGTTTTAGTAGTGCATTAGACTTTGGGGGTGGTTTTGAAAGCGGAGGCACTGAAGTCTTTGAAGCCTCTATCAGTTCAGTTTTACCACTTGTGGCATGACCAAGTTCCTCACTTCTCTGTGCTTCCTTCTGTTCCTTCACTTGAAAAGTGGAAGTGTAACAGCATCTACATCAGTGCTTCTCGAGCTCCCTAATGCCAGAACCCTTTAATATAGTTCCTCAGGTTGTGGTGACTCCCAGCCACAAAATTAGTTTTCTTGGTACTTCATATAACTTGCTATTGTTATCAATTATAATGCAATTATCTGTGTTTTCTGATGGTCTTAGGTGACTCCTGGGAAAGGGTCATTTGATTCAGAGGCTGAGAACCACCACTCTGCCTCGTAGAATATTGTAAGGGTTTGCAGAGTTGATAGGCATTGCTGTGACAATAGAAATAGTTTATAACATGCTCCGTGCAGTCCAGTAACCACCATGGCTATGAAGCACTTGAAACACGAGGAGACTAAATTTGCTTAATAGTCACATATGGCTAGAAGCTACCATATTGGACAGCCCAGATTTACTGATTGACGTATGTGAAATGCTAAGCACTGTGCCTGGTAGATAATGTGTCAATAAATGTCATTTAGGAACACTGTTAGTGATGGTTACAAGAGTCTCTCTAACAGGCAACAATATTTTAGGTAAACATCAATCACACAGTAACAATCCCCTCTACAACTGCTCTCCACTTTCCTAGGCATCTTCCCCCTACCCCTCGCCCCTCCCCCCCGAGATACACAGTAGTCAGATCCTGATAGTGGTGGCAAGGGAGGAAGGTTTTCTGCCCCTAGGAGACTGACTGTAGTGCGCTTCTCCCCATGCAGTAGGGTGGAAATCACTGGCGGGTACTATGAATACATTGATGTCAGCAGCTGCCAGGACATCATCCACCTGTACCACCTACTCTGGTCTGCCACCATCCTTAACATCGTTGGCCTGTTCCTGGGTATCATCACTGCTGCAGTCCTCGGAGGATTTAAGGATATGGTAAGAGAGAAAGTGACTTTCCATTTCACAGTGTGTTCTTATTGGATATGGGGAACAAGGCTAGGATGTTTGGGGCAGCGGAGATACATAATTTCAAGGGAGGAATCAGAATGTAGCATATGCAGCTGCCTTCCAATATCTCAAGTTGGAGCGAGAAGTGGCATCAGTTTGCGTATATTTCTTATAAACATGAGCTTCCTGTTATCTTGAGGCATATTTTGGGAGAGAAATGAATGGAAGGGGGTTTTTAGACTTCCTATTCATTCTGCTTTTGCAAACAATCTGTTATACCTCCCCTCCACACTTTCAGTAGAAATTTACCCAGTTAGTTTTCTCCTTAATGATCTTTAGAAGACAATGGAGGAAACAGAATTTATGTTTGGCTGTGGGTAAGATTAATGCTACTCTCCTACATGAATTCCATCTTGGAGTTTCTCCAGTACAAGCATCAAGGCGTTTTTGTTTCTTCTTGTACCTGAAGACTCAGCCCCAGACTAAGCTGTTTTTCAGGTCTTGCCTTCAACCCCAGCCTACCCACATTCCTGATACTCTCTTGGAAATCTTTCCCATATTTGTGTGCATGACTGCTAAGGCACACCAGTGCTCACAACTCTCAATAATGTATGCTCCCTCGATAACACTAGATGCCCTATTCTTTTGCTTTCAAAACATTTCTAATTATGTATTTGCGATGCTGGTAAACTTTAATCTCCAATTATGGAGCTGTTAGTTTTGAGCTGTGGTTATTAACTTGGCTTCATATTAGAATCACCTGGAGTATTAAAAAACAAAGCAGAGCAAAATAAAATAAATTTACATGCTTGGGCCCTTTCCCCCAGACATTCTGATTCAGCTGGTGTAAATGGAAACCCATCTCAATGGTTTCTGGAGAGGTCCCGGGTGTTTCTGATCTGTAGGCGGGGCTGACAACCACTGCTTCACATATCTTTACAAAATTACTTTGTGCATAAAAAGGATGTTCTTTTGACCCAAGGAAGTGAGATAGGCAATTTCTAGATCCTTGGTTATTTATGTCCCCTTTGGCGTGCCCCCCAAACAGGATCCTGAACAGCAGTCTCTAGTCTGACCCCATTAGATAGTCAAAAAGGTAGTGATGGTAAAATGAAAGGCACCTAGGCCAAGAGAAACGTGGAGTTTTGGTTACAAAGTCCCCAGCAGAGCTGACCTGATTAGAATAGTGGGGTTCCCACTGGTGAATCTGTCATAAGAAACCCTTCCCTGTCCATCCCCAGTCCATCATTCCTTCTTCTCTCCATCTCCTGTGCACACTTGTCGCATTCCCTCTGCTCTTTCTTCAAAGAACCCAAGCACTAAAGAGTAAGATAAGCACTGACCCAGCTGTCACCGCATGAAAGAGCAGGGTTTCCTGTCACCAAGGAAGCATTTAGGAAACATGCTGTTTCTGGGTTGAGGCTTTTTGAAGAAAAATAATTGCCATTGTTCTTGGCAGTTTTCCCCAGAAGAGTCTCAGAGTGGTGGGGATTGCCTGAATGGGAAGGGCTTTCCTACATAGTGGAGGGCTAGGAAATGCTGCATTTGATGTATGAATGCTGCTTTACCTGCAAGGTGGCCCTCACTCTGATTTTAACCCATAAGGTCATGGTGCTAAAAATTTCAGTTTGTTTGTTTCCTTCCTTCCATATTTTTGGATAGGCATTGCTCTTTTTTCTTTTCTCTTTTCAAAATTCATTTAGTAACATTTTATTTATTTCATTAATGTTTATTTACGTGTAAATGTGTGTATGACCGTATATGTACACGTGCCTGAGCTTAGGGGCATCCCCTGGGGCTGGAGTTACAAGCAGCTATTAGCTGTTTGATGTGTGTGCTGGGAATTGAACTCGGGTCTTCTGCAAGGACAACACTGAGCCATCTCTCTAGCCCCAGACAGTTACATTTTAAATAGGCTGGCTAATATGCCACAGAGGTGTTAAAACCTGGTATTAACTAACCTCTCTGAGTGAAGGATTCAAAATTTTCCATGGAGGCAGAAGGAATTGGGATGTGAATTCAAAGTATGCCTAAGAAAACAACTTTCTTAATAAAGTTCTGCAAGTTTGGTAGAAGGAAGGATTTAGAAAGTGGTGTTCTAAGAAATAAAGCTATTTCAAGGTTGATTTCCCTCATCTTAAAAGAATCCAGGAGGACATCTCAGTAACAACATCAACCCCTTTGAAGTGTATAACTCAGTGATTCAGTACACTCAAAATGCCACTTGTTTGTCACCTCTACTTAGTCCTTTCATTACAAGAAACCTGTAACCATAGAGTCAGCTACTCCTTATTCCTCTTGTCCTGAAACAATTAATCTGCTGTCATTATGGACATATCTCTTATGGATATTTCATATAAATGGAATAGTATAATATATGAAGCTCTGTGATTCCTTTTACTTACCATCATTTTAAGATGTATCTACCTTTCTTCATATACCAGTGCCTCATTTCTTTTAACGGCTGAATAATATTTCATTTTATTGACGTGCCACATTTTATTTTCCTTTTAAAATCTATTCATGGACATTTGTTACCACTGTTGACTATGGGGAAATGCTGTTATAAACATTCATATACATGTCTCGTTTTTTTCATACAAACTTGAAGTGGAAGTTTTTGATTGTATGATGCTTTTACATTTAGCTTGCAGAGAAAGAGCCAATCTATTTTCCTCATTAGATATTTCATATTTCTGCCAACAGTATACAAGGACTCCAACTTCTCTACATCCTACAAAGGTTCTAGTAGGTACACTGTTGTAGTTTTGACTTGCCTTTCTATAACACCCAGTAATGTTAGGCAGGACTGACAGTTTATACACCTTCTTTGGGGAAAAAAATGTTCAGCTTAGTTTTTTATGTCTGTCTGTCTGTCTGTCTATCTACCAACCCACCCACCTATCATTAGGCAGGTTCTTATTCTATAGCCCAGGCTAGCCTCAAATGCACAATCCTCCTGCCTCAGCTACCATGCCTGGATTTACCTTTTTTTTTTTTTCAGTTCAGTGTTTCTTCTTTTTGCTGTTGAGATACTAAATCCTTATCAAATGTATGATTTACTGCAACAATATGTTTAAGAGACTACTATTTCCAATTTAGCTCTTTGTTTTCATGTCAAAAATAAGTTACACTCACATACATAGATCTATCTATCATCTCTGAATTCTTCACTTCAGTCGTTTTTTATGAGCAGAAGATAGGGGAGTCTGTTGAAGGTTCTGATAGGGGCTGTGCATGCTTTCCAAAGACCTTTGTGCATTTGTTTCTGTTTGATCTGTGTTACATCAATATTTCAATACTCACCCTGCGTAATTATTAAGTACTATAACCATTTAACAGATGAGAAAACAGATCAAGCAGTCTCAAACGGTTTGCCTAGAACTAAGTAGAAAACATGGACTGGAGCCCAGATTGACTCTTTCTTGCTCCTTCTACTCCATCTCTTCTGCCCAAAACTAACATTTGTCCAGACCTTTCTGCTTCTTCAGGATTTATAGCAAACACTACCTTCTATTTGCTCAGAAGCTTCCTTAACAGTAAGGATGGCAAGCAAAGGAAATACTGAAAAGATGAAAGCAAAGATCATGGCAAAAGATAGTTCATGAAATAAGAGAATTCTAGTAGGGGTAGAACATGAGGTTACCAAGGAGAGGATGTCATCAAAATGAGAACAGCATGTAGAAAGTCCTAGAATAAAAATGTGTGAGCCAAAACAAAACCCCTGGCTTTGGTCCAAATGTAGTTGGTGATTGGCATGCCTGCCCTCTTCTTACCGTGCCCTGGAGTCTGTAGGGAGGCTCAGGGGTGCTGGCTGATGGAAGGATAGGAGCCAAGTATTGTGTGCTGGCAGCTGTTAAATACGATGGGCTAGGAGCCATTATTTGCAGAGTTGTTGCAGAGTCCTGAAGTGAAAAAAGGATATCTTCACACCCTACCCATAACTGCCTGAGTGTGATCCTAAGGAAATGTTCAATGCAATGTTTGTTGATCAAAGATATGAGGATTTAAGATGAATCTTTAAAAAGAGAACATATCTGTACAGTTTGTTTCTAAGTGGTGTCTCTGGTTTAGAATAAGTTAGGTGTCATTCTTTCCAAAGTCCATGACCATTGTCTCAGTAGAACTCAGTGTTGTCAGAGAAGATTGCTGTCACCATTTCCTGTGCCCCCTAGTATTTTTGGTTTGACAAGCTCAGAAAATTACTGATCAATAATGAGGAATATGGAATTTTACAAATTGAGCTCCAGAATTATTTCAACTGAAACACACACACACACACACACACACACACACACACACACACACACACACACACACACACAAATGCACACATGAATACTGACAAACATGTTTTAAAACCCTGTTATCTATTTGAAATATAGCTAGATCATTCTTTGATCATCTATGTTGCTTCATTCCTGCCTGTCTACTTCACCTTTCTCTATCCTCTCTAACTGGACTCTTCAGCATCTTCCTGGCACTCATTAAATCTCCTTTTTATGTTCTGTGGTTCTTTGTCCATAATAGTTCACTTTCTTACAGACACAATCCTGGACCCCTGGTCTACTGAACACACAAAACCTTTTACAGATATAGCTACATTGTTGGATTGCATTCCTATGGTTAGGTTTGATTTATTTCTAACAGTTGGCAGGGTCAGTTTCCAGTGGACAAGAGACCAAAGAAACATACTTTTGGTACTTCCTCAGGGGTGGCATGTGTTCTTAGAATTTTGGGGGTGGGGAAAGGAGATTTCCTCTGTAAAGTAAGCCAAGAGCTCAGGCCTTTCCCACATAAGAGGCATCCGTGAGAGATGCATTATAATGACTGGGGCTTACAACACTTCACACCCTCAGGGATCTGAACTATAATCCAGCCCAAGCAGCAGAGCAACAGAACTGTGCTGAAACTTTCTGTAATGGACTTTCCTGTCAACACCTTGACATAGTAGCTTGTGCTGCTGCCAAAACCTACCACATGTTTTCACTGCTCCAGAGGAAGTTCCTGTTTGATTTTAACATGGTGTAGATACATAATGGAAGGAAAAAAAACATCTTTCACACAAATGGAAGAGGTCTCTGTGACATGGGGAATGGAAAAGAAAAACATTTGATCCATGTGGTACAAAGAATGTATCTACCTGGAAACTAATGACCAGCTCTCTAACCTGGACAACGGTGGCTTTAACTCTGAAAGGGCTACACCTGCCATCAGGTTGTAGCAAATTCAAAAGTCACTCATAAACTTGTTTATTTGCAAAAATAATGAAAGTTACAAAAATGATTTCAATATTTCTGTGGACATTGATTTTTCAAGTTAAAAAGTTGTGGGGTGTGGGGAGTAGACAAAGGTTAAAAGGCACTTGCTGCTCTTGCAGAAGACCCAAGTTCAGTTTTACTACCTACATGGTGATCCCCAGTTCCAGGGGATCCAATGCCATCTGATCTCCACAGAAACTGTCCTCACATGTTAACACACAGACAATGCGCACACATACATGCATGTACACAAACACATATAATTACATTTTTTTAAAGATGGAGAGGGTTGGAGAGATCACTCAGTAGTTAAGAGCACTTGTTGCTCTTGCAGAGGACCAAGGTTGAGTTCCCATCACCCGCATGGTAGCTCACAACCATCTGTAACTCTAGCTCTACAGACTCTGACACCCTCTTTCATCCTTTGTGGCCACTAGGCATACCTATGATGGACATACATGCATGCATACAACATATTCATGCACATAAAATAAAATACATGAATCTAAAACAAAATTAAAGCTTAAGGAAAATGACCCAATATGTATTCATGTCAAAAATGTTGGCATATACAGTAGAAAGATAAGAGTTTCCATTTTCCTCCTAACATTACTTCCCTCTGCAGAGATAACCTTAAATAACTTTCTGTGAAACCTTCCAGAAGAATTTCTTTGCATTTACACACATAAATATGAAACTGAGGCATTAAAACATAAATTAAAGTACACTGCATTACTTTATCACAGTAGCCTTTCTTTTCACAGCACTGGGGATTGAATCCAAGCCTGTGCACATATGAGGCAAATGCTCTATCACTGAGCTCTAGCTCTAGCCCCAGAGTAGGAAAAAAAACAAAAAATCAAAACAACAACAACAAAAACAAAACAAAACAAAAACAATAGGGGCTGGGCTGGAGAGATGGCACAGTGCTTAAGAGGACCTGGAATTCCTAGTACCCACATGGGGGCTCACAATCATCTGTAACTCCAGTCCCAGGGAGTCTGACATTCCAGCCACCTTGGGTACTGGGCACACATGTGGGTCCACAGAAGTACACATAGGCAAAACATCCATGCATGCAAACAATAACAGAATACTCTGGACCACGTTCTCTGTCACTAAATATAGGTCTTTGTTTATCTAAATATAACTATTTATCACTAAATGTCACTATTTTTTATAATATCACCATTATTATTTGTTTATATCACTAAATATAAATCTGTGTTGATCAATAGCTGGGTGATATGCTATAATATATCTGTACTGTGGCTTATTTAACCATTCACCCCATAATGATGATGTGTAATATATTGCTTCTAATTTGTTTTTTCTGCAGAACCCTACACGCCCGGCACTGAACTGCTCTGTTGAAAATGCCCATCCAACCGTTTCTTACTATGCTCGTCCCCAAGTGGCATCATACAATACCTACTACAATAGCCCTCCTCATCTTCCACCTTATTCTGCTTATGACTTTCAGGTATGTTTGAAGAGAAAGCATTCGTTATGTTTGCTGTAACCCTGTCCTTATTACTAGGTTATTTCTGGAACCTTCCTGTTGCTTTTGGGTTTGATAGGAATTAGCCCAGGTGCTCTACACTGAGGTCTGTATCAGCTTGTAGGAACCAGGGATTAGATTAAGAACCTGCAGAGAGGTAATGAGAGAAGGTTCAGGAAAGTGGGAGTAGCATGGGTGAAGAAATAGAATGGGAGGAAAACAGAGGAGGAGAATAGGAGTGAGGTATCCCACATTGTCTTTAAATACAGTAAGAGAAGATAATTTGGCTGGGAAAAGGCAGCTTGAATAAGTTACCATGGTCCTCTGTGCAATAGTGGCTTTTGCCATGGGGAGAAGCATAGTCCTTACTGCTTGACCTAAGCATGTTCTGAGCCACACAGAGGCATGAATCAGACCTCCAATGAGCAAGTCCCTTTGTTTTCTTCCAACATGCTAACTAAATCCACATGAAGAAAATATTTTTCCAACCCCCCTTCCCCATTGTTTCCTTATTACATAGATCAGAAATAGTGCTGCCAAATTTACATTCTCAACGTTTTCTTTTGAGAAGTGACTAACTGCAGAGAAAGGGAAGCACCAAAAGGGCCAAGGACACTCATGGCGTGCAGTGAGGAGGCCCTTTGGAAAAACACGTTAAATAGGTCTTACATACGAACAGTGATTGTCTTAGTGGCTTTCCTTCACTGTGATGGAACCTACAAAATAATAATCAGCCTTTAGACAGGAGAGGGTTATTTTCAATCTCAATTTTGGAGGCTTCAGTCTGTGACCAACTGGACACATTGTGTAGGCTTGTAAAAGTTGCATCACCTCCTCAGAGTGCTAGGAACCAAACTAGACCTGTAGGGGATACTTCTAAACCATATAAGTCATTGCAAACCATTGGCCAAGTCTGACACCAAATTCTGGTCAACCAAAAACTAAGACCATAGGAAAATCTTTTTATTTTATTATCTATCTATCTATCTATCTATCTATCTATCTATCTATCTATCTATCTATCTATCTGTATTTTCTTATTTTACATATCGATCCCAGTTCCCTCTCCCTCCCATCTTCTCAAACCCCCTTTCAAACTCCCCCGACATGCTTTCCAGGAGGGCTCATCAAAATCTGTCAAGTCATTTGGAATAGGGTCTAGGTCCTCCCTCTTGCCTCTAGGCTAAGGGAGTGTACCTCCAGGGATCATTTCTATAGTTCATTATTTTATTTTTTAAGATTTATTTATTTATGTATCATGTGTACAGTATTCTGCCTGTATGTATGCTTTTACGCCAGAAGAGGGCACTGGATCTCGTTATAGATGGTTGTGAGCCATCTGTGGTTGCTGGGAATTGAACTCAGGACTTCTGGAAGAGCAGCCAATGTAACCTCTGAGCCATCTCTCTAGCCCCTAGAAGGTCCCTTTAAAGAAAAAAAAAATCTCCAAATGTTTTTTGCTTCAATTGATTACAGCCCATTCATAAGTGACACAAGGAGACATAAAACGTCATTTTCTGGAGATATTTCTAGCTAATGTTGACTAAGCAGAAATCCTTGGAGAACCTCATTTCAGCTTTAGTTTAACAAAATAATTGAAACTTTAAAACGATTTGTTGCATTTGGGTTGGAGTGGTCTATAGCTTCATAGTAAGACTAATATAATATGAACATAGACTTATTCACTCCCATTAAATACAGTATCACTACCAGGAGAGAGCATTAAGGCTTACAAAAATTGTACTGAAATATGACTAAAGCCTTATTAGCCCGCAGGAAAATGTCTCTGGTACTTGTTATCCAATTATGTAGTATGAGCCTAAAAAGGCAGCTATGGTCAAGAAGAGTACAATTTCAGTAGTGAGAAGCAACACATGTATCTTTTTTAAACATTTTTTTTTTCTTATTTTACATATCGATCCCAGTTCCCTCTCCATCCCTCCCTCCCTCTCTTCCATCCTCCCATGCCCCCCTATCACCCTCCTATCCCATCCCCCGCCACTTCACATGTAGGGTGATGCCATCCTGGAGGGGTCATCTAAATCTGTCAAGTCATTTATCTTTTAAGAGAATTTAAGTATGTAAAAGTTTATATAGGGTTGGCACCATTCTCTTGGGACCTCCATAATAAAGTAAACTATCCTAGGATGGAGAGGTTGTGGGCCCAATGCGAGAAGAGTTTTCTCTTTTCCTTTCCGTTTCCATTATTTCTTTCTCTTTTTAGAAACAGTTACTTAGTGTGTGTGTGCGTGCGTACGTGCATGCGTGCGTGTGTGTGTGTGTGTGTGTGTGTGTGTGTGTGTGGTCTGTTGCGGGTGCATGTGTGTGCCACTGCATGTGTGTGGCAGTCAGAGGACAGCTTGTTCTTTCCTTCCAGCACGAATGTTCCAGGGATCAAACTTGGATCATCTGGAGGCAAGCACCTCACTGATTCCTGAGGTTCTCTTTCTGAGAAAGGGTTTCCTATATAGAAAAGCCAGCTTTAAATTTGTAGCAGCCCTATGACTCAGCCTCCTCAATGCTGGGAATATAGGTGTGAGCCTACATGATGAGTTATTTTTATTTTCATATCAAAGTAAATTCTATTGATTTTAGGAAGTGACATGTTTGCTGGAGGTACATGTGAAGCAATGAGGACAACTTGCAGGATTGGTTTTCTCCTTCCATCATGTGGATTCCAAGTCAAATGCAGGTCACCAAGTGTGATGGCAAGTGCCTTTCTTTACTGGATAAGCCATCTCACCAGGGGCTCACAGGAGTGTGTTTTAGTCCCTCAAAATCATGTCTTTATTGTGTGATGATCCAGTTAGGAAGGCTGGAAAACATTTCTTGTGGTCAGAAATTGGTAAGGATTTGTTTTGGGTCAGTTGGTCCTGAGGAAGTTGTGAGACCTGAGTGTGAGGCAACAGATTGTTATTTCAGTCTTGCATTCCAGTGTGTCCTCACTTCTAATGAACTTCCCATACTTCACAACAGGAAGGCTCTATGTTGAGATGGCTTTAGCTGCCTTTCTCATCTCGTACTCCTACTTCTCTTGCCCTTTGAGACCATTTCCCCACGACCCCTTCAGTTTCAGCTAAGCTCGGATTCTTTGTTCTTTCTTTCTCAGTGTTTTCTTTTTTTAATTTAAGCGAGAAACAGTCTTGTTTTACATATCAATCCCGTTCTCTTTCCCTCCTCTCCTCCTCTTAAGCCTGAACTCTATAGGGCATTATCAGTTCCTACTTCTGCTCTGAAATTGAACTCAGTGTAGTTGTATCTAAAACCTTGAAGGTTCCCAGCCATATTTCCCAAAATGGAATGCTGGGTTAGTTCCTCTACTTTTCTCATGGACTTGTCCCTTTCCTGTCCACTTGGTGAAGTACCAAGTAGAAGCTCAAAAGTCTCAGCCTATGAAAAATGCAAACAGCTCTGCTTATGTTCTTTATGCAGTACCTGAAAGTACATGATGTTTCCCTCAAGCCATTAAAAGTGACTCATTATAACTGAGCCCATTTTATAAAGGATTTCTGCAACCCTCTGGGGGTGGGAGGAGTTAATGGTACAGGTTACCTGAAGCTCAGAAAGCAGTTTCTGCTTCTTCATTTCCCCCACCCCTTCTCCACTTTGCCCTTTATTCTCCCTTTTCTTGATTCCTCGTTTTTTTGTTTCTTTTTTTGTTTGTTTGTTTTTTTCTCTCTTTTGTCTGCTCACGTTCCATTTCCTTAGGTCTTTCTTTGTAGGGCAGAATTTGGGGGAGATGCCTTTTTAAAAAAATCAACAAACCCTGTCATCCCATTCTTTTGGGACACAAATTCTCTAACTAGTCATTGTCACTAGGCAGTGCCAGGGCACCTTTTGGAGTACAAGGTTCATGGACCTCCTAAAGAGAGATGTGCATACATTGATAGATATTAAAGAATGTGGACAGGCATGGCGCAGGAATAGGGGTGGGAAGTAGACATCTGTGTTCATGAAGGGTGGCTCCCTTCTTAGCACCATTGGAGTACATTATGTATCCTCTTAAGTACATCAGGCCTTGGAGGAAACTCGTGAAGTCAGAGCTGACTAGGCCAGCAGTGGGGTGGCTGCTTAAATGTCCCTGTGCTTTGTGGTGTGCAGAGATCCAAAGCATTAGTAAAGTTCAACTCTCAAGCAGGAACCAAGATGCACGAAGCCAGCTCTCTAGCTGCAACAAAGCCAAGTATTTGTCAAGGTGCTTGCCTGTTGCTAGGAAACTCTGCCCTGGTCCTGTGGACCTTTTCTCTCTCCAACCCCCATGGGTATGTAGACTGCAGCCAGTTAGCTTCCGAGCTTTGCCAGGAACCTTCAAATTTATTCTTCGGATTTCTAATTCTGACCTCAGAGGGGAATGAGAATCACCTCTTCACTGCTACCCAGCCCCGTAATATTTACCAAACATGAAACCGAGAAGAGAAAATCCAGAGGCGGCTGTTCTACCTCCTCTATTATCAAAGTGCAAAACTACCTCCCAGGGCAACTGCTACCCACCCGCAGCAGCCTTTGAATGGCTCTCAGGACACAACTGACTACAGCTCTACTGCAGGGACTTGTCCTTCCCTTCTGTAGCTGTGAACACCTAAAACTGCCCTGATGCCTGTTGCCATCCTTAGAGTGGCATTTAGAAGGGTAGAGTGCCATGTACATGCATGCCAAGCACAGAAATCTTTGGTCCTGTGGGGTTTCCTTTCCTCTCTGTTTAAGAGAAACATTCTTAATAGAAGAAGGGAACAAAAAGGAGGGTGTATTTAGTTACTTTTCTTGTCAGTGTGACAAAATAGAAGAAAGGGGTTATGTATATTTATTTTATTATTTTCTGGGGGTTTTGTTGTTGTTTTTCATTTTTTGTTATTTTGTTTTTTGTTTTTAGATATGGTATCACTACGCAGTCTTGACCAGGCTGACCTTTGACTCACAGACATCCACCTGTCTGTGCTTCTTCCGCCTGAGATTAAAGGCCTGTGTCACTCACACCCAGCCTAAGAAGGGGTTATTTGAACTCACATTAGAGGGTACAGTTCATCATGGTGAGGGTGGGATAGTGACAGCAGTGACACCATAGTCACCTTACTTAAGTGAAGGAGTTTGCAATGTGTTTTCTACCCCAGAACATAACTATTAGTAAACAACACACAATTGGGATGTTTTAATAAAGGATATCTTCTTTGAGGGAGGAGTTACTTTAGACTTAGAACGACATCTTGCTTTTCTAGGGCCCACTCTTTGGAGTTGTATCGCCCTTAAAAGTTCTCTGTAACCCACTCATTCTTAAGCTTGGAAAATTGACAGGTAGAAAAGGAAGAGGATGGCTACTCTCCTCACTCCTAACATGATGTGATGCAGATATTGCAGTGTCTCATACTGGACCTAGAAATCTAGACAGTGCTTTGCCATGGACATGAGACTGTGCCAGTTAGTCTCATTCTCTTGAAGCCTCATGTCAGTGCTGACCAGAGATTGCTACAAGCATGGAAAAATGATGTGACCCACTCAGACTCTGGTTAGACCACGTAAAGATGTGACCCTCCTCGACCCCACCTCCTTGTTGAATTAGCACTTGAGCTCTTGAGAAAACAAACAAAACAAAACAAAACAAACAAACAAAAATCATATCCTCATGAAGCCCAGATACACTAGAATACCTACAGTCCTCCTATTCTGTGTTCTGACTTGCTTTGTTCTTTCTGAGACCCTGAATTTGTTTCCTAACTCTTACTATCCTTGTAGCTCCCTTCATGTCTGACCTCATCTTAGCAATGCTCTAGTATGACTGTAGACTCTGAAAATGGATTATGGATTTTATTTTTTAAAGGCATGCCAACGGCACCTAATAAATCCTCTTGAAGTAACAGTCATTCAAGATATACTGAGCACTTACTATTTTCTAAGCACTGTTCTGAGTTCTGGGGAATAGAACAGTGAAGAGAAAGAAAGGAAGGAAGGAAGGAAGGAAGGAAGGAAGGAAGGAAGGAAGGAAGAAAGAAAGAAAGAAAGAAAGAAAGAAAGAAAGAAAGAAAGAAAGAAAGGAAAAGACTAACTTGCACTGAGAAAAAAAACTATTAGGGTTATAGGTGGCCATAAGCCAGGGAAGAGAGAGGTTAAGTGATTCTACTATGGGAATTCACCGGTTATTTTAATATATTTTTAAATACTGAGTTTTTACTATGTGATGAGGACTGCTTTCTTACTTAGCTAATGCTCATTCATCTCATCTCTTATCAAATGTCAATTAAAAACAACAATGGGCATAAACAGATTCATTAACGGCACAGAGATCTCTTGCTCAGTGACAAGCCGACTTTGGATTGAGCCCATGGAGACAGGACTGCACAATGGAGTTGGTGAGAGCTAGCTGGACCATGCCCTCTTCCCTTCAGAAGCCAGTTCCCTTAAGAGTAAATTACATGGAAAGATAAAGGAAGAGACATGGACATAACACCCTTATCTAACCTGCCTCACACTTTCACTTGGAAATTTAAGAAATATTTGATCAGCATATAAGGCATTAGATATTTTGACATTTTCAAACAAAATGTATTTTAGCTATTTTCCTCCCCATTCAGGTCCTCAACCCTGGTATCTCTGATGTTCCCTCTATCTTCCCTATCTCTTCCCTTTTTTGTGTTCTGTGTGTCTGCCTTCACACCCATCCTTCATTGTTACCTGTTTTTATCTCGTGGCCTCCTATTTTGCGGGTTTATCCACACTTTACCCCACCCCCACATTCTTTACAGGTTAGTCTCTACACATGAGAGAGAATATGAGGTTTTTTGTCTTTCTGAGTTTGAGACACCTTACTTAATATTATACTTTTCATGTCTCAATAGGTTAATTTTTATAATTCACACCTGCCTCTTTCCCAAAGTTAGACAACAAAAAAGCAAAATTGAACCCCCAAGTCTCTCTGTAAACTAGCATCGCTCCTCATTCTTATCATTGTTTCTCACCCCCATGTCTTTGTTAATCATTGTTTTCCAATCAATGTTAAGTTTGTGGATAACGAAAGGAATGGTAGTTCATATGGAACAGGACTTCACAGCTCGAGAGCCATGCAAGTCAAGTTTTAGTCTATGACACGTGCCCTAGCCCTGAACATCCCAATGATATATTCCTAGGGATCAATTATACTACCTCACCCAATATTCTTATGCCCAGACTAGTTGTAATGCTCTTAGCATAGGTGAGGAGAGCAATACTGATGGTTTGAGTGACACATGCAGAAAATGGAGTGACATCTTCAAGAAGCCACACGGCAGAATCAGATGGAGAGTGGAGAATCCCCAGAACTTTCCAAATAAAGTTTACAGCCTAAGGGACTTGATGAGGAGCTGTCATGTCCCTTACCATAAGATTAAAGAACTATTTTTTCTTAATAGAAACAGATTTGGTCTATATTCATTTTAAATAGTAATGTCAGTTGAAGGAGTTGCAAACTCACTGCCTAAGCTTCTCGGTTTTTTTCCCCCCCTCATTATACAGCATTCCGGTGTCTTTCCATCCTCCCCTCCCTCTGGACTCTCTGATGAGCAGGAGCCCCAGTCTGCCTCTCCTTCACCCAGCTATATGTGGTCCTCCAGCGCACCGCCCCGATATTCTCCACCCTACTACCCGCCGTTTGAAAAGCCACCGCCTTACAGTCCTTAAAGAGGGGCACCTGTCAGCTATTGAGATTATTGTGGCTTTTGTATTTCTGCTTTAGTGGGAGTGTGTAGGGTACAACATCTCAAGTGTGACTCTTATGCATAAAGTTTTACAATAGCTTGCCAGGCTAGGGCAAGATAGGGATGAAAGCTTATGATCAGGGAAGGGCAGGATTGGCTAGGCCAAACCCAGTACTTCCAAGAAGAGAAGTATTTCTAATACAGACTGTTCTGGCTAAGAGTTTTGTTTGCTCATGTCTGGATATGAAAAAAAGCTGCCCGTATCTTACTCTGTTCTTCTCCGAGTCTTGTAAAAATGGCTGTTATAATCATTCAGCTCAGCTTTTGTTACTGGTACCTCCTAAGGGGAAAAGTGCAATGGTCCCCCATCTTGAGTGGGGGAAACAGGACTGGCTGATTCAGAAGCACTGAAATACAGAGCAAACATGTGCTGTTTTCAGTAGATCTCAGTATACATCTGACAACTTAGGAGACAGTGTTTCTATTATATGTTGCATTATTACAAAACACATTTGCTACTGGAGATATAAAAATCTTACAGTTGAATTTCTGAGTTTAAAAATGCTAGATTAGATTGGGTCGTGATATGAATTGTTACTTATCTTTGTGACTATTTAATCTTCGGATATTGTGCTTTAACCCCGGCAAACCGCACGATTCTGCACTCCACCCTTGAAAACTCATCTGTATTTTAATGTCACTGCTCTTATTGGTCCTTTTTTTCCCTGTTGAGATCAATTGTGACAGCACTCAATTCAAGATTACGAAAGTTATGCCATTTCAAGTTCTTCAAGACCTCAAATGTAGCCAACTTGACAAATTCTTAAGTGTTACACATTTAAAATCCATCTGGCACATTGTGGTAGTTATACAGTTGTTTTAATTATACAGAGCTTTAAACCATGATGATATTGAGTGAAAAAAAAACCATTTTGGCACCCATGCCTTCACTCCAGCATGAACACATTCACTGGGATTTTCTTTTGACCTGAGAACTGGTTTAAAGGAAGATTGATAATCCTACACTTGTAGTATGTAAAAGTACAGGAGCTACAGAAGATGCCTAATTAGACAGTTCTGCAAATACAGAACACACACTGGAAACATTTCCAGCCCATTTCGCTGCCTCCCATCTCTGATGGTTAGAGGTAGCAGACAAATGCTGGTGCTCCCATCTACCTTGTAGACACCTGGTCATCAAGATTCAAGGCACAACAGGTGCACTCACTATTCACAGTAAATGTTTGAAATATATTGTTTAACTTTCAGCATCATATTGTCCTATCCAAAAGACCACAACCCTTTTATGTTACACAAAATTACAGTTATTTTTACAGTTTTGAACATAATAAAATTCTATTGGATTTCAAAAAAGGACTACTAATCAATTGACTTATTATACAAATATCACCTTGTAATATCTAACAGGATTTTTTGCCATTTACACTTTACCCCTTGCTTTAGTGAATGTGTATATTTTTAAAGGCACCATTTCAAAGTATATCTTCAATGACCACATTTCTTAAAGTATTAAGATTCTGACTCATTTCTATGTATTTTTCTTACTTTACAAATAACTTGAAACAGTAGATTTTATAACACTTAATTTGAGCAGCTTTTTTTTTATTACATTGAATTATATCAAATGCATGTTACTTTAGGAGAAATTATATTTGCTGCTTCCCTATTCTGCAAAACATTTGCTGTAATGAAGGAATTTGTATTTCCAATGTATCTTGACTGCATTTTCTAACATTTACTGCTTTCTTCCTAATTCAGCTTTAAAGTATTGAACTGGGCATGAAATATTAAAATATTAATTCAGAACCTGTATAAACTAGATGTTGCTTAAAATCTGTATCACTGCCATGTTGGAAACCCAGACAGCTTTTGTGATGTTTCAAATTAATAAAACTAATCCTCCTCCATTACGGGCCTCATGTTATGTACAAAAGTACAGTGGGAATTCTAAAACAACTGCCAATGCCAGCTCAGTTTTGCCTATGATGGTTCAAGAAAAAAATGAGACATACTTAACCAATACAAAAGGCCTAATGACAATTTCTGCCATGTTGTCATCAGAAATGCAGCTTCTCTCCTGCTATAAAAAGAACAACAAAGAGAAAAATAGGATAGAAAGCTTATGTGATTCATCCACAATAATCTTATAAAAATGCACTCAAAAATTTGAATGAATATACTTTATTTCACCATCAGAAACTCTATGAACTAATATCAAGTATGGTTAACAAAAAACAGAACTTAAGTCATGATAAGGAAGATTATACAAATATGAACATTGCAGTATTGGGGGAAATGAACAAGGTTTCATATGACTAACAGTGGTAAGGAGGCCAGTGCTATTGAATTTGCATTTAATTCCCCAGAATACACATACCATGATGACACTTTTAAATGCTTAGATCAATGTTCATTTATTTTCCTTTTAGTCCAATAGAACAAATTCTTCAATGACTCTGTTGAGGATAGTGACCACCAATGATAACAACATATCTCAGTTAATATTGCAAAACTACTATCGAATTTCAAAGTGTTTGCTTGTTCTTTGAACAAATATACTATTTCAAATAGATACTACCCAGAATATCTACAAGGAATTTAGCATTTGAACAAAATTAAAGCCAACTTGAAAAAAATAGGAAATTCAGTAGTCAGAAAGCTAAGTTTTAAAAAAAAATCTTCACAGTAGGTTTTAAATGGCATCTTGCCAAAAGTTTCTAAACCAATAATGGTTAGGAGTAAAGAGTTTTTGTTCAAAGGGGTATTCCAGAAAAAACTCTGAACTTTGAGCTGGGCAGTGGTGACACATATCTTTAATCCCAGCACTAGGGAGTCAGAGGCATGTAGACCCCACAAAACTCTGAACTTTGGATATGAAAACTTACTAAAAAACAAACAAACAATCAATCAAACAAACAAACAAACACAAAAGACCCTAAAACATATCTAAGAGTCTTCTGGCAAATTTACAACTTAACTTTCTAGTTCTCATCCTCCTTGTAAACTCCAGAAGCTATGTTCAGTAAGTAGAAAGTTTGTAAGTTCTTATTCAAAATTTACAGAGTACAGCAGCAGTGGCAAATAATTTTACCAATGTTATTCAGAATGGAGTTTTTCATGACTCCCAGTTTGTTATAATAGGCTTGTAGGGAGCAAGTTTTATCACAGCAAACTAACTTACCTAGCAGTTGAGACTGCAACATCATTATCACTCACACGGGTAGAAGTAATTCTAACTGCTGAAACTGTATTCATGAAACTCAAATTTAACTGGGGACATTTCTGAGCATACCCTATACTCAAAAAGCAGTAACATCACTATCTATAGAGAAAGGAAATAGACACTTTGATCACAGAGATCAGAGTCTAGAGTTATAAGGTGATTTTCAGTTTTCTAAGAGTAAGTTTATCAAAATGGTTTGAAGGCCTAAGCTTACCAAACAGAAAACATAAATGTACAGCACACTACTATTCGGTAAGCAGGGGCTATAATGCAAATACTGATTCCTGACACCCTCAGCTACTAACTTAAGAAACACTTAAACTTTTATCTTTACACCTAGTTTACCACCAGAAGAATGACCTATGCATGAACAATTATGATTAAAGCTTTAAGTTCAACGTCAAGAAATAGATAAAGACAGTTTAATAAGAATGAAAATACCTATGCTGAACTAAGAAATATATAAGTCACAAATGACTATTAACTATGCAATTCAACCATTTTCAGTGTCTTTTTCCCATTGCAAAAAAAAATTAGGTTAAATTTTTACAGAATTGTGTTAAATCTGTTATAAATGCTAAGCTATATATCTGTTCCAACTTACTTCCTTTTATTACTACTCTTGGTAACTTTTAAATTCCTCTAAGTGTTTATATATGTGCCATCTTAAAGGGAAGAAAGGTGATATTGTTGTCAAAATAAACAGGAACCAAAATGCCTGCAGTATTCCACATACAGTTTCTGCTATAATATACAGCAGTTTGAACTTTCTTCCTACTGGAGATTCTAATGTGATCTTTTAAAAATGTATGCCAGTAGCCTCCCACCAAAAATACATGAGTGTCATCTATGGAATCTCAACATTTACACAGAAAGATGCATTTGGTGGCTTTCAGAAAGTAAATTCACAACTTGTCATGGGAATATTTTTTAATCATAATTTACAAAAATCTCCATATAAAAGCAGAAGATTAAAGATAAGCACAAAAGAACTTTGCATTACCTCCTGTTTGCACTATAAACATGCCTGCTAGGTCATTTTCTCCCTCTCAGGGCCAATTTGAAGGCATGCAGTGGCCGCCGCTGGGTGATAGTAGCACAGGCCTTTAATCCCGGCATTGATTGGGGAGGCAGAGATAGGCATATCTCTGTGAGTTTGAGGTCAGCCTGGTCTACTGAACAAGTTCCAAGATAGCCTCCAAAGCTATACAGAGAAACCCTGTTTCAAACAAACAAACAAACAAACAAACAAACAAACAAAAGGCATACAGTAGCATTGGCATCAAAATCTCTTACAGACTATGGCAATGAAAGCAGTGATTAATCACAAATTAGCTAGAATAGCTAGAACTGATTCATCCTTCATAGGAGCGACTTGTTTGCATGGCTATTTCATAGTGGGAGGGAGGCAGGAGGCTGATCTCCATTTGTGAACTGACAGAACAAATCACCAAGTTAGGACTTACTCTGAAATTTACTAGAACAAATTCTGGAAGTTCACTAAATATTATGCTGTATACAAGACATAATACACTTAGGCTTAATATTATGAAAATTGAAAATTCAGCAGTAAAGTGCTAACTTGGAAGGGGGAACAGTATAAGCTGTACTAGGGTATATTAGTAACTCCAGTAATTCTCAAAGAACATTTAATTTAGACTGCTTCAAATTCTATTCAGAAAACTATCTCTCTGTACCTTTAAAAAGTTACATCTTTTAAATGAGCTGAAAGCTATACTATGCAGGTATTTCAGGGGGTGTTCAATCTCTACTCAAACTTTTAGGAAAAAAAATGTTTCTAAAAATTAACAATGCAACTAAACTACTTTCAGATGACATGGCAGATCAAATGAACATGTTTCTGCCCTAATTTGTTTCACAGGTCTTTTGAAATCCCTGCCCCTTAATCCAATTCAAACTTTGATATTTCAAAGGAGTTCAGTAAGATTCTGGTATTATAAATTCAAACTCAGTACTGCCATCTGTTACATTTTGTTTAAACATTGAATCATTTTCCTGCTGAATAAAAATATCTTCCCAGTTCATTGGCTTGTTTTGAGGAGTAGATGTGGTTCCTACCGGAGGCTCTTTCCCGGCATCAACCTTATACCCAATCGCATCATCCTTCATGACAGGCGCAGCACTTGATCTGTCAGAAAGATATGCATACTGTCTGATCTGCAAAGACTTGCATGGATGTAAGCGATAAAGCTTTGAGTCTCCAGAAGGATCTTGACTGTGAACTGACTTTATGTGTGAAGACATAAACTGATAGTTGATGAAAGATTTGCCACATGCTAAACACTGATACCGTCGTTCCCCTGTGTGATGAATTTCATGTTTTGTGCGATATTCTGCAAGAGGAAATACCTTCTCACAATAACGGCAGGGATACTTCTTCTCCCAAGAATGAATATTAAAATGTCTTCGCAAGCTGGTCAGACAGACATATGACCTTTTGCATACAATGCAGATATAATAGACCCTTCCATCTACTATTAACTCATAGTGATCATCATGTTTTACTTTCATGCGCTTGTTTGATGGCTCACTGCCAGATGTTTTTGGTAGCTCATTCTCAAGTTTGGCCTCCCCTTCATCCGGGTCATCTTTCACAGGGATCACTATGTCGTAAGTATCTTCACCAATATTTGCATAAACCTTGCAACCGGTTGATAAGCCTTCAATTTCAGTAGCTGTATCTAAAGTAATGATCTTCTGACCTTCCGTTAGATGCTTTGATCCTAAACCTGGATCATTCGTGTTTCTAGTAATGATGTCTGATATTTTTAAAGAATTAGAAGGTGGCTCTTGAAGAAGTACAGGAGTCTGCACCTTCTGTGTCAATGATCCATCAAAAGTGGTACTTTTGGAGGTGTCAGCCTGTGGGACCAAAGATGTATTACTGACTGCTGAGTCTGGACTGGAGCTAATGGTGTCATCATCATCATCTATAATTTCTTCCTCTTCCTCCTCATTGGCCTTGTTTCCCGTTAAAACAGCATTGTTTGGTGTCTGCTGATTCTGTACAAGTAAATTGATTGGTGTCTGCTGATTCTGTACAAGTAAGTTGATAGGGGTCTGCTGATTCTGTACAAGCAAATTGATTGAAGAGGACATGTGATTGGGAAGTGAAGAGCTGACACTTGGTGGTGTGGTAAGTGGAGCCTGATTTAATAAAATAATGTTAGGAGTCAGATGTGTCGACGCTGAAGACACCAGCAATTCTTCACTTCCTTGTGGTTGGCTAAGAGTTGCCTGCTTTACAGGAGTGGGAAGCGTCTGAGCAGGTGCGATCTCTTTTAAAGGGGGGTTGTTATTGCTAGAACAAGGTGTCACTTCTGAAATAGCAACAGGGGCTGGGTTAGGCTGGACCTGTGTCATTGTGTTGTTACTTGGCAAATTCTCCTTTTCAGGCAAAATCTCAGAGCAGAAAATGACATCATCATCATCATCTGAATCAGTAACAATGATCTTTTTCATTTCATAATCTTCAGCAGATAATGAAAAAGACTCTGTTATAATGGGCATTACAGTAGCCCCATTATCTTGGGCTTCATCCTTTGATTTTGGGATGTCAAGGTTTTTGTCACTACAATCAGGAGGTAAGGTCTCAGCAGTACCATCTTGTTCTGTACCTGATATGGTTTTAACCTGTGACAGTGGGACACCAAGCTCTGCAATAAATTTCACTCCTAGTAATTGTCCTGACTTAATCAACTCGTCAAGTAAATCTGCTCTAACACGGACAATTTTAGAACTATAGATATAATTCAGAATTTCTGCAAAAATCTCTGCTCTTATAAAGCTCAGTTCAACAACTTGCCCAGCGACTGAGAAGAGCTGATGGAAGTATGTGCTCGAAGCTGAAAGAATATTCCTATGGGCCCGGAATTTTCGGTCTTCCACAATAACAGTAACGTCACAAAAGAGTCCATGGCCACGCTGCTCATTCAAGGAGTTCAGCAGACTTCCAGAGTATTGAATGTCTGTAGCAGAAATCAGTTTTCTGCTCTCCATGCCTATAAAGGAAAGGGAGGAGGGGTGAGTATGGAGGAAAAAACCGAAAGTACTTGATTTTATTTAGAGTTTAAGGCATAAAAGCATTAAAAAGTTTATTTAAATCTGAATCAAAGTCTGATCTACTATCTTGACTTTTAAAAATGCTCCTGTGTACACTAGCTTTGGACCATGTGTCAAATCTTATGCCTTCCTCTGAGAAAAGTCAAGACAGTTTTCAGTTGCTATGCAGCTGTGAATAATAATCTCCTTGGTCACCTTCCTTTGAAATTCAGGAAAACATGTTTTCACTAATCACTCTTTTAAAATTAGAATTCACCTTTTTAGCCCCAATTTTATTTTTTATCATGGAGACATAAGAATTAATTTTTAATTGTAAGGAAAATCTGCATCGTAACGCATACAAATTTCTTCTTCTGAAAATGAGTGATTTAAACTCCAGAACAGTTTAACAGTTTAAGTCTGAAATTTACAATCTCTTTAATTTCAGCTAATCTTATTAGTAAGATCATATTCAAAAGTTAACCCTTACAGCCAAGGACAATAACAAAGTGATAATTATTATCTCACAATTTCTCATTCTTTTTCTTTACCTATCCCTTGCCCTCATATGCCCACCCCTTACACTTTCCAGAGATGCAGGGTGAAACAGAGCACCAAGTGAAGACAGCACATACTCTCTTCAAGGAACAAGAAAATGGAAGGGAAAGCATTTCATTTCTTAGTGCTTACTTACATTAAAAACTGGGAACATCCTATGTATGTTGGTAAGAAATTATGTGCATTAGTATAAGAACTTATTTCTCTTCAAACAAGTTAGTGAAAAGGAGAACAGTAACTTATTGGAATATAGGCAGTATTACTATGCAGAAGGTAGAGTCTCTGTTGTGTGACACTTCAAACACTTTCTTTCAAAGAAGATATCATGGTAACAGTGTGGCCAGAGTGTAAAAAGAGCCATGTGCATATATTAAACCATTTATAAGCACAAAACATGTGTTATATGTAAATATTATAATACATTAACCATTACTTGCTAAGTACCAGTGGTAAAGAATTATTTTGGCATTAATATGTTTTCCTTTTAAAGTTACTGAAGAACATCACCGTCATAGTACTTATAACACACACACACACACACACACACACACACACACACACACACACACACAGCCAGCAGAGCATCTCTGTATTTTTTTTAAAATGTCCAACATCATAACTTGAAAATTAACTATAGGTAAAACCTTAAAAGTCAAGGGTTTTAAAGAACATGTTGGCTGTTCCATTTTAACGAACCAAGTAATTACAGCCTATCATAAAGGCATTCATCACAAGGTGTGACCTCTGGACAATGTACCAACAATCCAAAAATATGAAGATTTCGACAGAAACCACCTTGAAGTGGAGACGTTTCTATATATGGCCACATGATTTTTATCGTTTGCAAATACTTTTATCCAATGTCGGAATGTTTCAAAAGCAGGTGTCCAGGTGACACAGGGACTTAGCTTCATTTTGTTTAGGTAGCCATGCTGCTTGTCAGGGTTGGGCCCAGGATCAACCTAAGTGGGTGTCACAGAGTTGCCGCTTGACCGTGATAAGATATCCTACACCATTGTGTGATAATCTTTGACTGTGGTCTGGGTTAGAGGGCTGGTGAAAGTGGGGGAAAGATAAAAGCCACCCGCCAGAGTGAATCAAACCAACACAGGGATCCCTGCAGCAGCTGGGCACTATTTTCCACCAGCTCCCTCTTCCTTTGAACTTAGATGCAATCGAGTTTTAGAGGCCAATTTACATGCAAAGGCTAGCTTCTTGCTAATAAGAGATGGAGGTGCAAATAGAGCAAAGGTGCCAGGATTGGGGAGGGGGTGCTGGAGAAAGTACAAGGCCTCGATCTGAAAGGTAAGGTGTCGGCTGGCGAGGGAGGCGGGAGAGGGGTCAGGCTAAGCAGTAGGTATTGTTGTGTCCTGAGCTGGGGACTGAAGAGGACGACCGAGCCCGGTAGTAAAAGCATAGTCTAATCAAATCAGGTGGGAGATGGAAAAAGAGCACCCCACCCCCACCCCCAAAGCAGGCAGATGGGAATAGGGAAAGTCAAGTGGGTAGCTTTGGTGGGGTCCCCCACGCCCCGAGGCCTACCCCCAGGGTGTCGGCAGCTCCAGCTCTGGGCAGGGAAGGGGATCACGCCGCGCCCTCCTGGTTCTTCCCCCAGCGCTCCCGGGCCCACACAAAGAAAGAGCCCAGGAGCGAGCCTCCGACTCAGCCGCTTCCTGGTTCAAGTGAGGCGAATGCAAACGTAGGCGCGGCCGGGGCACGGAAGGCGCAGGCGGGCTCCTGCTCCCCAGCCCGGGCCTCAGCCCGCTCCTCACCTGCTCCGCGGCGCGGCCGCTTCCTCCTCCTCCGGCTGAGGAAGGGTCAGAGTCCTCCCACAAGAAGAAGCCGGAGTCCCAGGCGCTTCTGCTGCCTCTTTAAATGTTGCTCCAGTCTCCGTCGACGTCGAAGAGACTACCTCCGCCGCCGCTACGGACGCCTCCCTCGGTCGACAGAGGGCGCAGCGCACGAGCGAGCCGCCCTCCTCTTCCGAGTGCAGTCCGGGGCTCTCCGGAAGAACCCGAGTCCTGCACAAGCTTGGTTTCAGCGCCACTCTCTGCCTTCGGCTTTTTCCGGGACTGAGACGCTCTTAAAGTGCTCCGCTCTTTTCAGAGAGCAATGGGGTGTGGGAAAGGGAAAGGGTTGTTCCCACTGTTCCCAGTAAAAAGGCAAGCTAGTCTTGTTTGTTCAAACTCTGTGTAAGCATCCAGGGCTTTACCAACTTTCAGCGTTTCATTTCTTCTCCAAATTAGAAATCTGTTGTTAGGGTATTGCTTGGATGAAATATAAACTGCATATTAAAATTTCTTAACTCATCATTCAAATTGTAGGGTAACAAGATACCCAAATTACAGTGTCTACTTTTAAGAAGAAACCTGCATTTGGATAACTCTTATTAGGTGACTATTAAATGGTGCAGTACCTTGTTAACTCAATTTCTATTAATAGTGATCAAATCTGATCTGCAGCAAATACATACCAGGTAAGCCAAGTCTCTCCATTTTCAGAGGGCTCAGTAGATCCATAAACACGGATGAAAGTATTTTACAAGAACAGAATAACAAACCAGTGTCAAATGAACCCTATCATGAAAGCTAATGTTATTTGTGCTGTTTGTTGTTATTATTTCCATAGCATTTCATCCTCATAAGGACTTATAGTCTTACATTTAACTGTTGGTGATTATTTAAAGAATAGCTTATATAGCTGAGCAAAATCCCATTGTATATACTTAACACATTTCCATTATTCATTTATTAGTTGATAGACATCGAGGCTGTTTCTATGTTCTAGTTATTGTAAACAGAGTAGCTATAAACATGGATGAACATGTGTCTTTATAGTAGGAAATATTTTCCTTCAGTTATATGCCCAGGAGTGGTAGAGTTCTGAGGCAACTCCACACTAATTTCCACAGTGGCTGGACCAACTTGCAGAATTATTGGTTACTTGTTTATCCTTGTGACAAAGAACCAGGACCAAGGCGATTTACATAAGAAATAGTTGATTTAGGCCTACAGCCCTGAGCAAAAGAGTCCATGAAAGCTGAGCTGAGAGGCAGCAGGTACCGTGGCTAAAATGGCAAGCTGAGAATCCATATCTTGAAATAAAAGCAAGAAACAGAAAGAGCAAATTTAAAATGATACGAAGTCTTTTAAGCTCTCCAAACCCAACTCCCAGTGGCATACTTTCTCCAATAAGAACAACGCCTTGGATCCTTCCCAAACATTTCTACCTACCAGGAACCAAATGATCCAAATATGTGGGGGGAGGGAGGAAGTCTGAGAGAGAGAGAGAGAGAGAGAGAGAGAGAGAGAGAGGATGGATTATTTTATAACGAACTTACCCATTTGTTTGGCAGAGGAAACCAAACAATGAGATTAATTATTGTGACTGTGCAACAGAATGAAATTTATAAAACTGAACACAGTACAAATCAATTCGGTAAGTTGGTTAATATGCATTAAGTACATATTATTTAGTAGCAAAATGGAGCCAGTCAAGGTTCTAGGAATTGTTATCATAAAGGCAAAATTCTAATCTTCATGAAACTTAAATGATAATGTGAGGAACATATAATAAAAGAATTGAACATATAATTTAAACACATAATGCAACATCAGTATGGTGGTTTGAACAAAATGGCCCCTATAGGCTCTTACATTTGAATATGTGGGTCCCCAGTTGGTAGAACTGTTTGGGAAGGATTAAGAGGTGTGGTCTTGTTGGAGGAGGTGTGTCTCTGGAGGATGGCTTTGAGCTTTCAAAAGAGTCATGCTATTCCCAGTTCTCTTTCTCTGCCTCCTGCTTGCAGATCAGGACATGGACTGTTCTGCTGCCATGGCCTTCAAACAAAGATTGCATCCATAATCGATAGGTTGAGCTTATTATTTTTCTTTCAGAGATAGAAAACATACACTCCAGGAAACTGTGGAGTATCTCAGAAAGAGCCTCCTAGAGGTGGTCTTCTTTTGTATGCCTGTGAGGCCAGATCTATAGGAGGCTGAGGCAGCAGACTAACAGCTTTGAGGCTTGTCTGAATTATAAAGCCAGTTCAAGGTCAGCCTTAGCAACTCAGTGAGCCCTCATCTCAAAGTTAGAAAAGAGCTTGGGCGGTAACACAGCCGTAGAACACTTGCCTAACATGTGGGCTCTGGGTTAATCTCCAGTACCAAGAAGAAGGAGGAGGAGGAGGAGGAGGAGGAGGAGGAAGAAGAAGAAGAAGAAGAAGATTAGAAGAGTTGGGTAATTTGAATGTGAGCCTCAGGACATAGGTGTTCACTTGAACTCAGATGCCACCAGAAGTCAGGGACAATTGTATGATTGCCTAACTCAATAGTTCATATTTATAGTGGGTACATCTTTAAGTGAGCTGAAAATAACTGTAATTGGGAAAATAGCAATCACCTATGTTGCACAATAGGGGACATTCATTGTTTGCAGGGTGGCACATGGACCTTGTTTTGCCCATGCTTAGACAAAATCATCTCATTTAGTCTTAGTAGATCATTTTCCCTTGACCTTGCTTGGTGTCTTGTGGGTTTATGTCTAATAAGAGGAAAAATCTCCCGAGTTGGAAATTATATCAGAGGTTAGTCAAATGTCGATTTTTCAGGCAGCAATTGAAAAGTCTAAGAATATGAGGAGCAAGTCTTAGAAATGTTGAAGGAAGGCAGAGGGAGAACAAGAGTGACTTGTCACCTCTCTCCATTAGAAAGTAGTGGCTATGGCTACATATATAACTCAGCAATAAAAGCATTTGCTTAACATGTGAAGGCCAAATTTAATGGCCAGCAAAACACACACACACACACACACACACACACACACACACAAAACATCAAAACTTACACAATTCATGAATATCTCTGATCAGAGCATGGTAGTGTACACTTGTGATCTCTGCACTTGGAAGGATGAGTCAAGAGGATTATGAATTAGAGGCCAGTCTGAATGAAATACATGACTAGTTCTGAGCTAGTCTGGGCTACAGGGCAAGCATCTGTCTCAAAACAGGTGGCCATTTAATAAAGATGTTAAAAATGTCTTTTTTTCTTTGTTATGTGAGTAGTTGGAGGGGCACATTCATGCCACAGCACGTGTGTGGTTGTCAGAGGGCAGACTGAGAATCACTCCTCTCCCTCCATCCTGTAGGTTCTAATTTTGAAGCCATGTTGTGAGGCCTTGCAGATAGGGCCTCTATTTACTGAGCCATCTTGCCACACTCAGGGTTAGTATGAGACATATTTATATTAAAAAAGTATTTGTTCTTTATTTGAAATTCCAATATAAGTAGGCATACTGTATATTTTCCTTTTACTAAATCCCACAGAACAAAAATAAACACATTGTGGGTTAATTGGATCCTCTGAATCTATGTAGGAACTACTTTGAATACTTTCTCCCTTTTCTAACCATCTTAGAAATCTATGGCTTGGTGTGATGTCACATGCCTTGAATCCCAGCTCTTGTGAGGCAAAGGGAGGCAGATGTTTGTGAACTCGAGACCAGCCTGGTCTACATATTGAACACTGGGCCAGCCAGCGCTATATAGTAAGACCCCATTTAAAATGTAATAAACAGTTACACTAATTTCAACCTGTCACTCACGGCTGTTATGTTTTATTTTAATTCTAAAATAAATAGTAAATGTAAGATACTTAGTATAGTACCTGACACATAAATATCCTATATGACTACTTAGGAATAATTACTTTCAGATATCATCTTCCTATGGAGCTATAGTTGTTATTTCACAGAGTTACTATCCTATAGGACACATTTACACTAAAAATGTATTTGTTATTTATTTGAAGCACTGTATTTTCATTTGTTTGATTTTGAACTACTATATTTTCTTTGCTGAATCACATAAAACCCAAAATAAACACAGTATTGGTTAAACGAGATCCTCTGAATTTATGTAGGAAATATTTTGAATACTTTGTCCTCTTTTGCTAGTCTTATTAAATATTTTCTTTTCATTCAAATAGATACAAGAAAGTATATAATTTTATGTGTGCCATTGCTACATAGCATATATATGCATACAGTTGTGTATATGATGTATACATACATGTGGACACAATTTGAGCCCAATAAGTGTCCACAGTATGTAGCCCACAGTATGAGAGACAGTAAGCATCTGATATTATAAAATATATAACACTCAGCCAGGTTGTGGTGGCACATACCTTTAGTTCCAGCACTCGGGAGGCAGAGACAGGTGGATCACTGTGAGTTCAAAACCAGCCTGGTCTACAAGAGCTAGTTAAACCAAATATATATATATATATATGCATGCATGCATGCATGCATGTATGTGTGTATGTGTATGTGTGTGTGTGTATGTATGTATGTATATATGTATATCACTCATAAAAAGTGCATGCATGTAAGTAGAACTGATACAGCCACTCTGTAAAGTGTTGCCTTCACATAGGATCCAGCCTTTTGTTCTTCAGTTATTAAAGCATTGGAGGCTGAGCAAAATGGGGTGTCTTTTAGATCTTGCAAGCTAAATGAAAAACCAAAGAGTGAATGGGATTAGTTGCAGTGGCAGCTAATTTACACCTGTGCACATCCACAGGTGGAGTTCTCCCTGGCTGGAGTTTCTTAGGAACCTGAGTAAGACTTACCAAAGTACCTGCAATGGTTTCCTTAACTTTGTGTGATTC